AAATCAGTACCCCGTACCCTATATGTACGATATCCCGTTGAAGTGGCGTCATTTCTGCGTATTTCGCCGACGGGATGTTGAGATAACATCGTGGGCAGTAAGAGCGTCTGCGATCGGTCGGTGTCATTCTTACGTGCCGATTTCATTGTCTACTTGACGTTATAGTGACTGGCTCCGTGCTTGCCAATTCAGGAACGTATTGTTCGGAATAGATGCTTTTGCCTGATCGTGGTCGAGGGCTTAGGCCGTGGTAATTGATAATGAAGGTCGATGGCGGCTTGATTTATGGTTTCCTGCTTTCCCGTCCGTTTTGTTTTTGCGCAATGAGGTATTGAGAGTCCGAGGACATCCTCAGAATTGAGAAGAGGCGCGACTCCATCTACGAGATCTGTGTTCAAGACTGCTCGTATCGCTGGCAATGTCCAAAAGATCTCCTCTTGGCTGCTCTGTTGGTATCCGGATTTGGCATCGGCTGGGTACGGATTGGCCGGTCTGACCCGGTTTTCGTAGCCGGCGAGGGCGGCCTGCCAGAGGCCCTGACCCCGTCATTAGAGTCGGCCATTGCCGTTTTTGTGGGTGGCCATCTTCCCATCTTCCACGCGCATAACGCGCCGGGCAGAACGGGAGATAAGAGACAGGAAGAGAGACAGGGAGGCACGAGAGGCGAAGAGACACATTCATGTAGACTAAAACAAACAGCGCTGTAAGGATCACGCACTGTCCATCGTTAGCGTGCGTACCGCCTTCATCATCACACGCTCGGCCTGTGCGTGTTTGACTGTTATATCGGCCCGGGCCTCCGGTCGCGTGCAGATCCAACGCTGTCCAATGATGGCATACAGAGACAGTGTCACTTTGGCGGTGGTATACGATGGAACTCCTCGTCGCCACTAGTCGATGGCATGTATCTGTCTAACAGTTATGAAGCTGGATTGAGTCTGTTGCCTGCCTGTTTTCCGACTATCTGTGTCACAGAAGCTGAAAGCCATACAAGTCGGTTCCGTGCATCCCATGTCCCCACTCCTTATGGCCTCTCCATCCACTCTGTTATTCCCGGCATCTTCAGCGTTACCCTGGTTAATCCTCTTTACCCCCTCCCCTCCCTTGTATCTTATCTATCCATCTTCTCTGACATACATACCGCCTTCCCTTCCCCATAACTAGCTACCGTCTTCCCCGACCCTGTCCATCCTGTTCTCCCATTGGAAGCCGACGGCGGCGTGCCGGGCGGGCGCTGAGCCGATATCCGGGACTCGTGGCTGGTCCTGATGATCGCGTGTCACAGGGGTGGGGGAGCGGGCCCGGCGCGGGGGAGGGAGGGGCGCGTGCCGCCCGACGCCGCCACCTGCCCGGCTGTCGGTGCCGTCGCCGCGCGGCTCGCCGGTGGTCGCCGCGGCGGGCACAGCACTATCGGGCTGCGTTTTATCGGCCGCCGGTCCGATAGTGGCCGCCGCAGGACGCGCATCGTGTCTGTTGGGCTGTTTGTGAGTGGAGGTGTGCACGGTGGCAGCTCTGGGAGCGGTGACTGAGAGAGACGTTGGAGAGACGTCACGGACTGGTGTGGTGTGTGGATCGTGAGGGAGAGGAACGGTGGACGAGAGTGGTCTCTGCAGTGGAACTAGCGGAGCAGAGGAACGGACGTTCTCTCCCAGTGTGAACTCCAAGATGTTCCCTCGTGGTGTATGGTGACGTGGCTCAGTTGGTCCGCGATCGTTATTTGTCTTCCGTTCGAGTGGTGCCATCTGAGTCGTGTTTGGTCTGAGCGAAGGACTATATCAAACTGCAGTCATGCTGGGATTTGACCGCGCCATGGCCGACCCGGAACTACTGGACGTGGTGGCAGAGTCTGAGCGTCACGCCGAGGACGGAGACGCCTCCTCCATCGGTGCGCTGGTCTCCTCGTGGCTCGGGCTGACCAGCAGCGAGCCGGCTGTGCTGCAGCTGGACGAGGAAGCCGCCGGGGAGGATTCGACTGCCGCGCAGCCTCGACGTCACGAGCTCTCTGACATCACCGAGCTGCCAGAGATCCCCGAACAGCCTGAGGAGGCTTCCACAGAGGCGGATGAGGACGGGACGCCGACTGGGGAGTCTGAAAAGGTAGCAGCGGCGACGGCAAAGGAGTCAACAGAGGCTAAGCCGACGACTCCGGGCGGCTCCACCACGGCGACGTCTCCGACGTTCCGTGAGCGACTGGCCAGTCTGTTCAGTCGACTGCAGTCGCCGTCGGCTGTCTCCCCGTCGGTGATCGAACTGCCGACCGGCGAGCGGCCGAGGTCATCCTCGGGCCCCGCCGCTGCCGATCGGCGAGCCTCGGCGGCCTCACGCCTCTCCTTAGACGAATCAGACGCTGCCATCCCTCCTCCAAGCTACACACTGGGCCGGCCGGACCCGATCCTGCTGAACCCGGGCCTGCTGCCGCTTGTGGAGAGTCCGCAGCTCTCCCAGCCATCGCCGGAGCGACTGGAGCGGCGCAGACGATCCGGCGTCACCGCGGCGCCCGTCCACGGCGCCCTGGAACTGCAGCAGCTCAAACACAGTCAGTACGGGCCGCGCCGCGCCAGCACACCCTTCTGGAAGGGGCGGGCGCGCGCGGACGATGTGGGCCGGTTCTGACGGCCGCTAAACGGTAAAGGTGCAGTGTGTCTGGGAGCGGGTGGGACTGTAGATTCCATGCGTGGTGGAGCCGCTGTGTGTCGTCTCTGGCCGAGAGTTGTCTCGGCTGGCTCCGAACTGTTGTTGGTTGTTCCTCGTTTCGTGTTTTGTGGTGTCTTGAGTGAGAGGTGACGTCGACGGTTTAATGAGATCTCCCTTCGGCTTGTGATGAACAACTGTGAACAACGCTGGCAGCGATAAAACGACCGATTTTAATATAATCTTCGCCAGGCATTGTCTTGTCTGAACGAGGAGGGTCCTTTGTGAGACGCGTCCTAGTGCCGTTCTTTCCTAATAATAATCCCGGCTATAATTACGAAATCGTCTGTCAAAAGGGACGCTCCTATCACTTCATATTCCCGCTCCTAACTGTGCATAATTCTATCCTGTTTTGCTGGTCGACCTTTCTCCACTATTCGTCGTGGACTTTTTTATCCTCTTACCATTGTATTCCGTCCCCTACTAATCCGCCCTTGTCTGTCCCCATGTTACTCTATCCCGCTAGGATCCCGTACTTTTCCACCCCGTCACTCCGTCCCGTTCTGTCCTCATACGACTACGTCCTGGCCTATACCGTCTCATCCAGCTGGGATTCTTCCACCTCCCCCCAGAGGTGTGTAAGTACGCCGAGCTGCCCATCGCTGGTCCGTTACGGGTGTCAGGACCTCTGACCTGACGTAGTCAGACCGACATTCATCCACCGCCCTCTGCCCTCCGCCCTCTGCCCTCCGCCCTCTGCCCTCCGCCCTCTGCTCTCCCCTGGTCGTTCGCCACCCACTGCCCGGCCCTGACATCCTGGGAATGCTGTCTTTGAGTCTGTTCAGCGAGGGTATCTTGAACGTTGACGGTCGAAATGAGCGCGTCTAATTGATAGACGGTTATCCGGAGAAAGGATGGGTTTTAACTTTCATTATGACTTGTGGTTTCAATGACTTCCGTTCTTTTCTTATCTATTCCGAGTTCAGAAATCTCTGCCTCATAAGTGCAAATATAAAGGCTGATCTTTCAGCATCAAGCGAAATCGCTTGTGGTCAAGGCGAGTCGACAGTTCCGTGCTCCGCCACATCACGGTGACGCCGACTGTCCGCCACGTGGCTGCTCAGACCGGGCGGTGTTATCTCAGAGCACTCCGATAACGCCCGGTGACGCCCGGCGACATTCCTCCTGGCACCTGCATTGTGGCCAACTGTTTGAATAGCTCACCACCAACCACTCGGGGCCGAGCCGCCACGGACAGACAATGCCGGCAATCGCGCCGACACCGGGACCGAATGGCCCACTTCCGGGCGGCGCTCCGCCTGTGATTGCCGGTCGGGTCAAGAGGCCGACGGACGAGTCCGCCGGACAATTCGTCCGTCAGGTGATGGGACGACCCATTCTGCCCGGACAGAGAGCTGTAATGGACAGCGGTGTTGTGGTAATGACACATTTATTTGCGAAATGGCATGAGGTCATTTGCCGTGGCTTTTATGCCGTTTTCTTTGAATGCAGACCTCGCAGGTGTTGCATAGCGTTTCTTGTTCTTTTTTGTTGCATTACTACCGTTACCATATTGTTTTTCTTTCGTTGTCGCTGTTCTTTATCGCGGTCGTTATGGTCCGGCTGCCTTTCTGAAAGTCATGGCTTACTCCCGCATATTTGATGTCATTTAGCCTTTATTTTTGGCTTCTGGTCGCCAAAGTGGATATGTTTGTGCCCATGAGTTACACCCACCCACTTCATGGCTGCATGGATTGGCAATTTTTTGGTTCTGTGGTTGGCCATTCTTATATGCACGTAACTATTACGTTCTGTTCATACTGATAAGTATTATAAAGTTATACGGCAACTGATCGACTTATTTCGAATTTATTATTGGTTTCCGTTTATTTTCACTCGCCGGTCATCTGTGTCCTATTTCTCTACCAGTTGTCCCATTAGCCGGTGTGATGTGTGTCACACCGGGTCCCGCCACAGGTGTTGGCCAGATGTATTAACTATGTGTTTGTCCTTACCCCTCCACCACACACGCTGCCGCCAGCGTCCACAGCTGCCGGTCATAGGTGGGGTTTCAGGGCTGGTGTATCATAATGTATCCGCCCTACACACGTCTGTGATGAGCTGGATAACTTCTGTCTGCCTGCCAAAGATGCCGCCATTCACTGCCATTGTCTTCTTGGTCATTCACTCTCGCTGTCAGATTCCTTTTGTTCATGTCTCGGTGCTGCGCACCTAAAGTGTTTCTGACCGGACCTGTCTATCGCCATGCACCAATGCTGTTCACTCTTGCTGGACTGTCCTGACCTTACCTGTGCCGCTTTGTGACCTCACCTGACCCTGTTCTGACCCCGTCTCCGCTCTGTCGCCAGGCGCCGAGCCGAGCGCCGAGCAGCTGGAGGGCGGCCCAGCGGACGGCAGCGGCATGCCTGCCATCAGACACAAGAGCGTCGAGTATGTGGGCATGTTCGAGTACAAAAAGGAGGACGAGGAGCTACTCATTCGCAGCCTCATATTCGGTGAGTAACAGTTAACAGTCACTCATCATCGCTGGTCATCCCTGGTGGTGGAATAATCCTCTAATTTCCACATCCGTTTTTACTGTTGGCCTTCAAGAAACCTAAAACACGTAAGCGTACGAAAGTCGACAGAGGACAGTGCTTCGTCTATCGGTTATTTCTCATCAGCTATCGCGCTGTTTCCAATAAAGCTGTTTTTGTTGGTCGTTTTTGCGCGGTCCGTATCAGTAAATCCCCTGATAGCATGTACGCCATGTTTGTGCGGTGTGGGTGGGATGTCGTATGGTATCGCCCCCGGTCACACAGTCCCTACCTGTCTCTGTGCTGTCCGTCGCGCCCGCTGGACGACGGTGACGTACTAACCCCAGCGGGACCGGACCGATACCATAACGGGCGCATTGCATCAGCCGGCGCATGTCATCTTGAATCGATACAGTAACGTCAAAATGTATTTTGCCCCTCTGCAATGACTTCTGCAGCGCCGGGGTCACGCGGTACTTGGCACGGGTATGCCAGCCACATTTGGTCCGATGCCTGCCTTGGAAGCGACGCTCGGCACTCGTTGCTCGGGACTGGTTTGCGGGCCACATTTGGTCTGGGTTCCTACCATAGATACATTCACTGTAGCTCGCTATTGACATTCATCATGTTTCCCATTATCATGGTATGCATACATCGGGGACCGATCCTTAACCTCAGCTATCTACCACAGTCCAAAAACGGCAGTGTTGCTTATTCTCAGTACCGTCGGCGATTTTTAAACGTCCCGCCCCTTTCCCCGCTCTCCGGCAGACCTGCGGCCAAAGACGGCGGCGGTGCTGCTGCCCGGCCTGCCAGCCTACATCCTCTTCATGTGTATCCGGCACACGGACCTGGTTAACGACGACGAGAAGGTTCGCCGCCTGCTGACTGCCGCCATCAACGGCGTCAAGCGGGTGGTCAAGAAGCGTCGCGATGACGTGGAGACGCTCATCATGTGGCTGGCCAACGTGTGCCGCCTACTGCACAACCTCAAACAGTACAGCGGCGACAAGGTGAGGGCTGCATCGAAGAGCTTGGGATGAGAGCTGTTTTAGAGGGGAGCTGAGCCGATACGTGTGCTGTAAGCCTCACGGCTGCGGGGCTAGCAGATGTTTGGTGTGCCAGTGGTTGTTTATAAGTCTGTAGAGTGTGATGGGTCAACTCATAAAGGAAGAAAGGAAAATGTGTTTCTTCGATGCTTGAAAGATGTGATGAGTTCAATTTATTGAATCATGATTTGTTTGATAGATCATAATGATGCTAAGAGCTGCTGACCCGTTGATAAGTCCCTCCGTCTCTACCGTCCCCCTGTAATTTTCTTCCGTTCCTGACCGCCGTCGCTGGCCCTCCCGTCCCTCCGTGCCGTCCCTCCGTGTCTGACCTCTGACCCTCGATGTTGTCAGGCGTTCCAGTCTGAGAACACAGAAAAGCAGAACGAACAGTGTCTGAAGAGTTTCGACCTGTCCGAGTATCGCCAGGTGCTCTCCGACGTCGCCATGTGGATATATCAGGTGAGCTGTGTGGATCAGATAGAAAGAGGATTGTATGGGTCAGAAATACTAGCTGGGACTTATCGGTTATATAAACAATATGGCTATTATGGGTCAAATATACAAGATATGCTGTATGGGTTAGATATGCCAGGGTGGCTGCATGGATCAAATACATGGTGAGGTCAGATGTTGGGTTGGGTGAAACGCCATGCAAAACAGACAATGGAATTGCAATCACCCATTAGTCCCAGGACAGCGCCGTTGCCATGCCTGACTCTTCCGTCAAAAGCTGCAGTCGCTGACACCGTGCAAAGGACTTGTGACACACTGCCACATTGCGCACACCCAGGAGCTGTGCAGTGTGCACGTTTGGGTAGGAACTTTAAAACTGTCCATCAGCTATCCCTTCTTCTCTTTATGTGTTTCGGAACAAAACCGACTAGAAGATTTTGCCATCAAAGATGCCTTCGACTGTCGAGGCAAAGAAACTCGCGTCGTCTGAAAATCAATCAGTGTTGATCGTTGCCCATGTTTGTGGCTGTGTTTCAGCTTGCTGCTGTGCTCCAGATGGCAGTTGTACACGGTGTTTTTACCTATAAAGGTTTCAAAAATGTATTGATGAGCTTGTTTCTGGATTCATCAGGCGAAAGGGCCTCAGACTCTTCAGGATCGACGGCAGGATGTGACGTATACCATCTCCTAAAGCGTAATCGAATATTGAGCTTTTTTATTTTTTGTTCTAGTGTAAAGACCATTCTGCCTAGGAACTTGTAATTTTACCACATAAAATGTCAAAACATTGCCACTAATCTGGAAAATTTGAATGATGTAGGCCTTATGGTTACGAAACGGGAGATGTTCAAAACCGTGACACTTTTTTGAGACACCCTGTACCAGGTGAGCTGGGTGACCCGACCCTGACTCAGCGGTTCCCTGTGTCGTGTATCAGTATCCGCTGTGTCTGTTTGCAATGGCGATGCCCTTGCCCCAACGATCCGACGAGCTCATGTTGCCGTGATCGCCCGCTGTTGGCTGGCCGAGCTGATAATGACGCGGAAGGTCACGGTGACATCAGTTTGTTTGCTGTGTGCCCGTCATCACCGGGGAGGTGCGATATTGGCACCGTCCGCATCATAGGTTGGGGCTGGTCTGGGCTCTTGATATCAGAACTTAGTACCCCAGGTAGGTGAACGAAAAACGGAAAGAATATGCCTAGCCGGTGGTGGTAGTGTACCTGACCACTCCCCATCTGGCCCTTCTCCTCCCCTGTTCCTCAGCTGGTGATAAAGCAGCTGGAGGTCGAGCCTGTCCAGCCAGTGGGACCTTCTTTCGCCTCCCCGTCTGACCTCTCCCCTCTCTCTGTTCCACAGCTGGTGATAAAGCAGCTGGAGGAGCGCGTCCAGTCAGTGGGCCTTTCTGCCCCTCCCCGTCTGACATCCTCTCCCTCTCTCCGTCCCCCCAGCTGGTGATAAAGCAGCTGGAGGAGCGCGTCCAGCCGGTGGTCGTCCCGGCCGTGCTGGAACATGAGGCGATTGCCGGCCTCACTGGCCGACCGGCCGGTATCCGCGGCCGGGCCGGCTCCTCCGCGCGTCAGCTGGAGTCGCCCGTGAGCAGCGAGGCGGCGCTGGACGCCCTCCACAGCAGTCTGAAGAAGATCCACCGCACCCTGGGCGAGCTCGGAGTGGACCCCGAGATCACCGCGCAGATCTTCAAACAGGTGCGAGACGGTGATGGGTGACTTGGATGGGAGGAGTGGTTGGGTGGGGGACACCTAGTTGTTTCGGATGGTGTATTGTTTGTGACGTTAGAGTGACGGTTTATTTCAATGCATATTCTGTCTATATGCGGTACAACGCGAGTTTACTGCGTGAACTTTCTGTGTAGTTTTTATGTAGGTAATTCATCGGTATCCCAGCAAATTCCGATGGTGGAGTTATAATTGACGCTGTATATCATGTCAGGAGTGTTCGTGTCTGAAACATTGCTTGCGTGGCATTAACACTATAACACTCACACGTCACACTCTCAATTCTTTGTGCTTATGGTTAGACAGTTGTCGCACCGTCTATTGATCTATATTCCGTTGTATCGTTAGGAGTATTACATTCGTAATTCGCACTACTTATCAGAGTCATCAAGTCGTTTATTGATATTCATGTCGATGTGTCTTGTAAGCGCTTATAGAACATCAGCGTTGACGTTTGCGTTTGATCGCCGTTACCAATCACTGCTGTTCGACGATGTCTGACCGACGCTTGCCTTCCTCTGCACACAGCTATTCTACTCGATCTGCGCGCACTCTCTCAACAACCTGCTGTTGCGGAAGGAGCTGTGCCACTGGACCAAGGGCATGCAGATTCGCTACAACCTCTCCCATCTGGAGCAGTGGTGTCGCGACAACCGGCTACACGTAAGGAGATGAAAGGGTCGCTGGGAGGAACAGGAGGGGTCTGCTAGGAAAGGAGTTATGTCTCTTTGTAGCTGGGTGACGACAATTACCGAACTGGCTACATGTACGGGGAGAGGAGAGAGCGGAGTAGGACGCTGGGTCTTTGGGAGTTCTGGGCAAGGAGTAACGTCGCTTTATAGCTGTGTGTATTCCGCACAGATCAGTGAGGGGCGGGGGCAAGCTCCACATGCTCAGTGTTTCTTAGTTTTGGGACTGTCGTTCGATGAAGCCACCCTATCGGCCGTTTTACGTTGAAGTGTTATGTGACGCTGTGGTTTGTCTTCTAGGACCCGGAGACGGGTGTGATGGACACGCTGCAGCCCATCATCCAGGCGTCCCAGCTGCTGCAGGCGCGCAAAACCGAGGAGGACGTGGCCAGGGTCTGCGACATGTGCGACAAACTCACCACGCCGCAGGTTAGTATAACAAACTCACCACTCCTCAGGCTAGTGCGACAAACTCACCACTCCGCAGGTTTGAGGTTAGTGTGGCAAACTCACCACTCCTCAGGTAAGTGTAGCAAACTTTCCACTCTTCAGATCAGTACCGGAGTAGGCAAACTCTCACCACGCTTCAGGCTAGCATAACAATCTCACCACTTCTCAGGTCAGTACAACAAACTCACCACTCCTCAGGTTAGTGCGTTATGTGCGACAAACTCACCACTCCAGGCTATTCCAAGAAACTTTCTGAAGCTCGTGTTATTTTTTATCAATGCAGCCACAATGCATGGCTGGACGTAGCATACGATAGCTAAAATGCATAATACGATATAACCGAGTACGGCACAGCTGCTGCTCCTTCAGACCTTCAGAGTACGGCTTCTAGTGACGTGTGTGAATAGTTGTTTATTGATCCTTCTCAAAATATATGACTTTGTTGCGAGAAAACGAGAGAAAAAGAAAACGAAATCACCGCCTTGCTTAACGAAGCCTTGAAAAGGCATGGTGTATCTTACATGTTCTGTTGCGAGACGTATAGATTAAGACGGTACAGATTGCTACAGTGTTTCACCCTACCTGACGTGTCGTCTGCTACTCACCCACAGATCATCAAGATCCTGAACCTGTACACGCCGGACGAGTACGAGGAGCGGGTACCGATCAGCTTCATCAGGAAGGTGCAGGAGCACCTGCAGCAGCACCGCGACCCGGAGACGGACGGATCGGTAAGTTTGGGAAGGCAGAGTAGGGGGTGGAGCAGGAGAGAAGGGATCGGTCAAACCATGGGGAGGCAGAGGAGGGGAGGCAGGGATTTGTGAGTCCGGGAGCACCTGCAGCAACACCGCGACCCGGAGACGGACGGATCGGTTAGTCCGGGAGGGAGAGAGAGGGAGGGATGTATCAGTCCAGAAGGGAGGGAAGAGGACGAGAGACGTAGCGGAGGGATTGGTCAGTCTGGGAGGGATGGAGAGTAGGGGGCGACTATCAGTCCAGGGAGGAGGGTAGGGAAGGACCGGTTGGTTTAAGAGAGGTGGGCAGGGAGTGGTCAGTCAAGAAGGAGAGGCATGAGTGGACGGATTATTTAGCAACGCTGTGATCCGATATACCCGAACCGTCCCCGCCTGCATTCGACCATCTTCCCAGCTGACCCCGACTTCCTCCTTCCCCGTCAGGCGCGGCTGCTGATGGACTCCAAGTTCGCGTTCCCGGTGCGGTTCCCGTTCAACCCCTCCAACATTCGACTGGAGGACATCGAGATACCAGACATTCTCAACCTGCCCATGCTGAAGAAGTTGTGAGTGACTCGTGTGTGAGTGTGGGTCGGTCGGCCAGAGCGACTGTTTACAGACTCGGCAGCTTGTCACGGGACTGCGGCAATGGCAGCAACTGCTGGGTAGCTTCGTTTGAGACGCAACATTCCGTGCTCGGTCATATCATAGGTGGCGCGTGCGGTGCCGGACGGGCGTTTTACACCGTGCCGACAGTGTCCTTGTTTTGTAGCCGAGGAGGGCTAGCGGAAGCGGGGGAAATTTGCGGATGTTTGAGACCAAACAGGCCAATGATCCGGGTAGGCAACTATTTATACCTATTTATGTTCCTTGTTATCGACAGCTTTATCATCGTTTGTTGATTTTGCGCTGGAAATCAGGTGATTATGATCAGTGTGCATAGCTGCGCGGGTGTATCTGGAGAATCGTGTCTGACGTTACACTGGGCGTGTCTGCCAACCGACCGTGGGATCTCGGAGCTTACGCTAGTGTCTCGTTCCGCGAGACTCGCCGTCTGGATTCCTGGACTGTCAGACCGACTGGAGGGGTCACATGTTCCGCCTCCCGACCCAGCGAGGTTTCAGTTTACCGGCGACGCAGAACTCATGGCCCAGCGTTCGCTGCCAGGTCCGTTTTACCCCTTGTGTCTGTCTGTGCGGCGCCCCGCGGCGTTCAATGAGACATTCCCCTCAGATGTGATAGCTGCCGCAGGCGCGGAGGCGGTAACACGGTCTACTTAGTGCGTCTACTTACGGAGGGCGCCGGCCGTCGAGTCGGGTGTTCTGCAGCTCGGCGAGTGGCAAGGTGTCAGATTATTGTGCGATGCGCTGTAGTCGCAATATACATGTGCTATGCGGAACAGTAGAACGTGTGTTTGGTGGAGCGAGAGAAGTGAAGCATTGCAGCGTTAACCTGAGCAATGAGCATCCACCTGCAAGCTTGAATAAATGTCGCGCTTCAGTCATATAGCGACCGAATCCTAACACGTCACGACTGTGCTGTCCTTGACGGACCTTGTCTGAGAGTCACGCCATCGAAACAGACGCTCAGTCAGCAGACGCATGTTCGTAACAACTCGTGGCGTGGTATCTCAGTGCGAGAGCCTCGTGCACTTGAAGTGTCTGCCAACCTTGATAAACTCGCACAGCTACTTTTTCAGCGCGTATCCGGTGATCCGTTCTGGACTCGTGCTCATATGCCGATGTTTATTTGGATGGTGGTGGTTTATTTAAGAGTCGTTCAAAAGTCATCAAGTGATTTTTCACATACCGTTTTCACGTAGTGCATCAAGCAAAATGGGATGGAGTATGAACGTAAGTGATCTTCACACTAAACCTGTAGCCATTAATAGATGAAGCGCTAATGATCGATCTAAGTATATTTACACCAAATCATTCCACCGTAACAATTCGTAACGTCACCGTGACTCCGGTCCGCGCTGTGTCCTGTCCTCTGATTGGTCCTTGCCGTCCGCCCTGTACCAATCAGAGGCCAGAGGCCGCAGGGAGCACTTTTTGCCGGTGGTGCTCTTCATTCACGGTGTAGGGGCGTCTCTGAACCGCGTCTGGCAGTACTCCTCCTCTGGAACAAGCGGACATTAGATCAGTCGGCGAGAACAACGGCAGAGCCAGTCAGGTGAGGTCATCCGGGCAGAGCAAGTCTTTTTTAACTGAAGTAAAACTTGTCAGCGTATGCTATGCCGTATGGTAACACTAGCAAACTTACGGGGTTATTGATATTGGAACGATCAAAAGTATGCTTTAGTGTGTCATGAAAGCGGGGAAATTAAAACCAAGAGAGCGTCACTTCATTGTCCACTCACGTGGCGTATCGCCCCCTGGCACCGATCCCGTCCTTGGAAGTATCGGACACGGGAGAGGACGCGATGTAGCCTGTCCTCTACGGCGGCGGAAGGGGAGGGGTACTCTCCCCGTCTGGGGGCGTCGCTGGGGGTCGGCCAACTGACCTGTCTTGCAGCCGACGGTGTAGTAGTCGCCGACCAGTCCGGGTCGGCACAGACACCGGTAGCTGCCCAGAGTGTTCAGACAGTACACCCGCGGGCTGCGGCACTCGTTCGCTTGACGGCACTCGTCCACGTCTGCGGGCGGGGAGGGGGTGCGGTCAGGGAGGGGGAGGCGAGGGAGGGGCGGGCAGCGGCTACGGAGGGCTCAATCGTGTCCAGAAACAGATTGTTCTCATGAGTTAAGCTCGCAATGGTCTTGGGTGCTTGGATTCCGTTAATAGTTGACCTCGAAGAGCGAATGATCATTGTGGTTCAGGGGAGGGTATTGAAATACCTACTCACCTACGCAGCGGCGTCCGTTCCACCGCCAGCCGACGGGGCACCACGGCCGAGCCTGGCCGTAACCTGTGGAAGGGGAGGGTCAGAAGTGAGATCTCACAGCCGTGTCCAGTGGAGGGGAGGGGTCAGAGGTCACGGCCGTCGGCCGGGCCTGGCCGTAACCTTCAGGAGGGGAGCTGGTGAGAGGTTACGGCTGGGCCTGAACTGAATGCTTTCAGTGGGAGGGGATAGATGTTACATTAGGTCATACAGCAGGTCAGATGCCAGGTGAGCTGCCAGGTCAGAAGTTATCAGAGGTCAGCTCAGAGGTCACGTCATATCGAGTCAGGCCGAATGTCGGTAAAAGGTCAGTGCGGTGACGGTGACAGACTGTGCAGACGATGAAGGGTTTTTGAACTTTGAGGGACATCGATTGATGAGGCCGCAACCAAGGACGAGTCGGTCAGAGTGTGAACGGAGGGTCATCGTTAAATGATGAACGATGGTAAGAATCAATCACAGGGTTACCGGTTAACGCTAGCCCGAAGGGGGCAACAGAGCCCTCAGCCCCATTCCAGCCGGCAGTCCGCCCGCCCCTTTCCAGCCCCCAGCCCCGCTCCAGCCCGACGTCAGTCATCCCCGCTCGGCCCGTCAGCTACACCCCAGGCCCCAGCCCCCTGCCCGTCAGCCAGTACCTGGAGGTCGGAATCTGGGCAGCACCTGTCCGGTCTCCGTGAGGTCCACGGCCGCGGGCCCGTCTAGCAGGGCGCTCCAGCTGCGCGCCGCCAGCCGCTCCTTGGAGACGGCACCCTCGGCGACCGCGAGCAGGCACAGCACGACCGCAACCTGGCGACACCGCATTACGGGCATGCGTCGTTTGTAAACTGAACGGGGGTTACGATCACGGTTCCGTGACAGTATATAGTGCGGGCCCGGTACGATTTCCTGACAATACCCAGAACGACACACTCATTATTAGCAAAATTATATTGATATAGCGCACACTATCGGCAACGGGTTTTCGTTGGTTTGTTCGGCGTATTGCGTATGAGTAAAACACTCATCACATCTCATGGGCCGGAGCCCGAGATTATCCACTTACCAACCACCGCCTGATGATTCTTGCCATGATGCTACTTCAATTTTGGTGGACGGTCGAGCAGCGCCGTACCACGACCAGGATCTCCGGCGGCCGTCTGACCAACCGGCCGCAGTTTCGGCCCGCTCGTTATAGCTCGCGGGCAAATGACCGGTCAGAGGTCACGTTACGCCCCTCCCATGAAAACGAATCTTATGAAGTTTTTGGCTAATTTTCACTTAAATATTGCCGCAATCGGAGAAATATGGAAGCACAAATAAAGAAAGCGATAGTGGCGCAGGCGATACATTTCGCGTCTAGGGCTGGTTCACACACCATACATATAGATTGAAAACAGATTTAAAAATAAGTTTTCTTTGGTATTAAGACTTGTTAGGAAAAAAAAAATTGATTACAAAAAACTTAGTTCACACTAGGTTAAACAACATAGGAAAGAAGTTTAAGATAATTTTCCCAAAAAGTTGCATTTTTACACTGCAATTTCCTGTTTATAGAGTGTTTCTCGTGACTTATGTGAATTGTCTTTTAATTCACGATAATACATTTTTGGTTCCCTATCACTATTATTATTATTATTATTATTATTATTATTAATACAATTTAATTCCTTCCATACTGCCTGGACGACAGATTATCTGCAGGTAGGTTTGTATTTTTTAAATATGAGTTGTGTGTGCTTTCCGTGAACTGATTCAATCAATGATTCAATTCAATGGATTCCTAGCATGGCAGGCGAAGTTGGAAGCAGGCAAGGGATAAGACAATTTCAAATTGAAAAATTATCGAATCTACGTTAAGTTCTACACAATCTAGATTGCTTTTGGCTTTAATTTACGTCCAGATTTGCTGGCAATTTCCTTATATGAAAATTACCAACACTTAAAAGCATGTCTTCAAGATATAAATGAATGCAGAAGATCAGATGTGCACAGATCCCAGATGATAAAACATGATATTAATATTCTTCAAGCGTGGATTTATGTATTGTGAAAATCATTGCCTATGAAACCTATAAATAATCAATTATCCTTGCATTCCTTCAGAGTTGACAGGTCTTAGAAAATCCATCAAAATCCGGCTCAGAGGCCAGTTTTACCAACAGAAAAATAGCCGCCTGCTGGAATTTTTTTGCCTAAAGATCGCTTCACATATGGAGCATAGACTGTAAACCCCTATCCGCTTACATACCCATCACATTTACGTATGTGAAGCAGTCTTAAGGCAAAAATTCTGGCAGGCGGTTTTTTTCTGTTGGTAAAACTGGCCTCATATCTATGATCCAGGGGCAGGGATCATGATCTGAGCTGGATCTTGATGGATTTTCTCAGAATGGCAACTCTGAAAGAAGGCAACAATGTCAGTAGGCGGAACTATGGTCAAGCGTACCCATTTTCAGGAACGCATTTTCGTTCCCATGTTTGGGAACGATAAACCCAAATATGGGAACGCCATGTAGGCATTATTTAAAACAAGAAAAAGAACCGTTAAATGACGTCCAAAAAATATAAAACGATCGTGAACCGCCTGATATTTGTCTCAATATTGTTGGGAAAGAGTTTGATATTGTAAGGCCCATCGTAGTTTCAAATCGTTCCCCTATTTCTAAAGCAGTCCATCATCCGGGCCGCGAGCCCAAATTTGGGAACGCTCTCGTACACTGGCGCTGCAAGCGTTCCTTATTATGGGAACGGCGTACCCAAAATTGGGAACGATTTCACCGACGCCTTTCAGGGGCTCTTTTCATTAACAAGCATCACGTCCAACGCCGCAAATTATTGTTAACGTAACAATCATCAGATGACCTTTCCGGCAAGACCGTCGCATGTTTCGCCCGGTCTTCTGCGCTTTTATTCCCGTCGATCTCGCAGCGGGCACGCCCCCTCTGCAGGATTACGTAATTCACAACGCTCAGCGATGTTCAACAAAGTCTTCCATACCTATATCCAAGGCCATCTATAGAAGGTACAGTCACTCTCCCGCCGACCAATCAGAGACAGATCCTGAGTGACGTCACCCCTGATGCTCGATAGGGGTACTCCATTCCTTTACAACGTAAAAATGACTAACTTCATTTGAAGATTGTTGGTGACACTCTACACATATTGCTCAACCATTGATGTCATTGAAAAGTCTAACTAATTTTCTAGCGATAAAAAAGAGCAGCAATATGCTAAGAAATGGCCGGTTTTGAAGATATAGACGATTTAAAAACCCTCTGCAGTTGAAGAAAAGCAACGTAAAAACGCATCGAGCTTATATTTTTACTATGAATAAATCATTTTTCAGTAAGTTTTTAGATATGGTATCGATTTATTCAACAACTTTATTACAATATTTTTATTACTTGGAACTTTATTTCAAAATAATATTTTCAAAAATGGCAACTGTTGGCAAGTAGCTTTGAAGCGATTGTGGCGCGCCGCGCCATTATTGTCCTGAGGCCCCCATATGATGTCATCAAAAGTGGAGTGACATGGGCCTGCCTATATCCACCGTCCGCGCCGAGGGTGGAGACATGTCAAGCACCTGTCTGTTTATCACCGATAGTTGACGAGCACAAGGAAGTATCCAAAAATGGGAACGCTGAATATGTTACACCCTCAAAACATCTAGTCCCAATGAAAATCTAGTTTTTTCCTTTCTTGATGAGTGTAAGTGGCAAAAGGCCTGGTAGGATGGGCACGAGGAATGATCTAAATCAGCATAAAAATTATAAATAAGCCACACAGAGCGACCTATATAAGAGAAATTCCCCCAAAACGATCACGCTTAGAAACACGGAAGACAAAAACCACGCTCATGACGCTCCTTATAAAACAACTCTAAACAGCTAGCATCCAAATAAGATATGTCTTTCCGGGATGATAAAATACAGCTGAATAATTTTAAACCACTGAAACTGAGTTTACAACAGTAGTTCGGTAAAATCACTGACGTTCCATGCGGTCGTGCGCCCCGACACCAAATGTCAACAATATTACCCCGGGACTGTCCGCGTGTGCTTGCATATGTCAGCATCTGGTGTCGCTAGTATGAAACTTCATAACCAGGCGAAAATTATTATACTTGACCTCAAAATGTAAAACACACTTCATTTTCCTTAAAATTGCATATTAAATGTAGTATAACCCATGTTTTCACCATTCCGTCATTTCAAAAAATCATTAAAAATATCATTCGACGGTCAATTTCCTTGTTCCACGGTCAGATTAAAGATAATTTTATAGAGACTTAGTAGATACTTAAATTAGCGTGCACTTTTTTGAGACGTGATGCACTAATGAGTTTTAGTGGGCGAACGGCCGAAAAATTGCCTTCCGTTCTCATAAATGGGAACGCCCGTTCCCGGAGTTCCCAAAAATGGGAACGTTCCTATATTTGGGTACTCATGACCATAGTTCCACCTACTGATGTTGGTCATTTAGAGGGTTTAGGAGCAATGATTTCCACAATCCCATGCTTGAATACCATTTATGGTTATATTTTTGGGTTCGGTCATCTGAGATTCATGCACATTACTGAATGAATGCCATAGTTATTTGCATCTTGCTTAATACAAAAAATACAAAATGGTGGCTGCATCACTTACTGAGTGATGTCAGAAAATCACTGCATAATTATTCATTTTTCATGCTTCAGTTAGTGATGGGCATGACGTGTCTTATGTGCTTTTCATAGTTAAGTTATTGCTTCCTTCTTCTGAACACTGCTTGTAGCATCACTGAGCACCATTTCTGCTATCTTTCTCCTGTTCCGGCTGCCTTGGCTGTTCAGTGTGCGGTGTGTCGCTGCCCCGCATGAGTCCCTGCCTGTGTGCTCCGTGTCTGAGCGTGCTGTCTGTCTGTCTGTCTGTCCGCAGGCGATGCTGGCTCCTCTGGCGCGGCGGGCCGCCACCGACCTGACCTCGCTGACACGTTTCGTTACAGCCGCCTCCCGACGACCGTCACACTCCGTCCGACGCGCCGTCGCCACCACCGCCTCCGCAGCCATGGCCGACAAGTTCTCACTGCCCGAGCGCTACAAGGGCACCGAGAAAAACATCTGGTAGGTGCTATAACTAACTCAGCTATTTGATGGTACTCTCAAGTCTCACGCTACTCTTAGCGTGTGTACGTCTATCTTTATTAATATCAATGTGGCTTGGTGTTGTCTGTTTGTTTGCCTTTTCGTAAAGTAGTATCGTTACGACATACTCGTTCGTCCGCTTCTCGTCTAGTGTTAGGTACGATGTGTATATCGAGGAAATATGTCATGCTGAATTTATCCCATGTACGCTAGGGAAGAGTAGATTGATTTACCAAACCCGGCTGTCGTCACAATGAAGTTTATCGTACACTTCGTAACGAACTCGTCACATTGAAGTTTATCGTACACTTCTGTTGTCAGAGTTCAGCTTACCGTACCCGTTTATCGTCAGGGTGGAGTTCATCCAGCTGGCTCTGGAGCACAAGCCACTTAACCTGGGTCAGGGTTTTCCCGACTACGGGTGCCCCAAGCACGTGACTGAGGGCCTGGCTGAGGTGATGCACGATCCCAACCTGCTGCTCAACCAGTACACGCGCGGATACGTGAGTACGATAGACGACAATGGCAAGGGAAAGGATAACACGTTTAACTGCTCTTGAGCATAAGAAGAGCGTTTGACTATCGTTCCGTCAGTTAGGAGTTGTCATGTAGAGTGCTCCTAAATACATGAATGTACTACCGGGTGTTCATTAATGAATGGAATAAAGTAGGTAGGCACCAGAAAGATATATATTCATCTCACGTTATCAAATCACACAATGCATTTTCAGGAGGGCTTATCATCTATGACGACATCATCGCGATCACCGCTTGCCACTTGTGTCTCCTACAGGAAGTGCTCAAAGTAACACCTTCGCTCGGCCACGCACGGCTCTGCCCGGCGCTGTGTGTGCCGGACCATCTTCCTCAGCTGCTCCTTGCTAATGCTCTGGCGAAATCCTCCACGACCTTCTTCAGTTCTTTGATTGTTTCCGGCTCCGATTCCATCACGCGGTCCAAAGCTTGGGTCCAGAACGAGAAATCCAGGCAAGACAGGTCGGGACTGTATGCGGGCCCGTGCAGTTGACACTTCCGCGCGAGATCGTTGAACTTCGATCGAGGGAGGCCATGACAGAATTAGGATCTTCAATACCTTTCCAATGGACATTTTAAGCTCTTCGCACGCCTGCCGAGCATGAGCTGTGGCATTTTTCCGGAAGAAATCCTTGACCTGTTCCATTTCATCAGGGGTCATCGGCTGGCGCCCGGAGCGCACACATGGCCGTGTCGCTGCAACCATCCTAAATCTTTCCACCAAACGCTGAAAAGCATTCAGATGTGGCTGCTGGTTTTCTCGGAGAGAACTTAAGGCGGAAAGCCCGCCTAAACACGGTAAGACTTTCCAACCCGGCACACTTCTCCACAACCCAACCCTCTTGTTCCTAATTGAACGGCGAGTTTGTCTTGAAGTGCCGATTTGGGCTCTTCGCAACCAGAGCCATTCACAAGCGTTTGGATGACGCCGTGATTAAAGTTATCATGTATTAAAAAATGATAAAGCCTATGCTTCATATTTACAAGTCAAAAATTGCGCGTACGTGATTATTTGTTATCACGTGACGTAGCTACTTTATTCCATTCATTAATGAACACCCGGTAGTTACATGATTATAAGCCATTCAGCGCCTACATAGCTGGATTGAGTTACCCATAGGCGCATAGTGAATTTGCTGTCGATGCGCCCCTTACACCACCAAACAGTAAGTTAGCTCCGTCGTTAGCACTTGAAATGCGCGAATCGCTCGCTCATACCTACACTCAAGTTCGGCACAGCGACTCTGAGTGCTGCCTGGTATCGAGAGCACTCCAGCTGAGTATAAGAGTCCCTCGCCTCCCCACAGTCTCACTCCCGGCCGCTCCTCCGCTCCACAGGGCCACCCGCGGCTGGTGAACGCGCTGGCCAAGCTGTACAGCGGCCTGCTGGACCGAACCATCGACCCGCTCTCCGAGGTTCTTGTCTCTCAGGGCGCCTACGGGTGCCTCTATAACGCCATCCTGGGACACGTCAAACCCGGAGATGAGGTGAGGACCTGACGGGGCTTTGATTGATTAGCATTGATTATGATTTGATCCATGGTATGCCTTGCAGAACAGCAATCCGGTTGGTGAGCACCTTGACCTAGTTAGGTGCCTGCCGGGCACCTTCAAGGATAATGGGCGAGCAGTTGTTCATTGCGATTCGATTGAAGTGTTTAATTTGATCCATTGATATTTGTTAACGAATCGTGTCGCTTGTTTCGATCGGTCTATTGTGTGGTAACATATCTCATAAGCGTTGCTGTATTATACACGTTTTGACAATATCCGACCGTCCTACCGTATGACTGTCATAATCCCGAGTACCACCGTCTGACCTTCCCACTGTCGTACCCTCCCGCCGTCTTATCATCCATTCCCTCCATCGGACAGTCCCCCACCTGTTTCACCTCCTGACCGTGTAACCGCCCGGCCTATGCCTGATCGCCCTCCCGCTCCGTGGCAGGTGATCATCATCGAGCCGTTCTTCGACTGCTACCAGCCCATGGTGAAGATTGCCGGCGGTACGCCCGTGTTCGTACCGCTCCGACCGCGCCAGGACGCGCCGGCTCGCGCTGACGGAGCCCTCAGCTCTGCTGATTGGGTACTGGACCCGGCCGAACTCCGCGCTGCCTTCGGGCCGCGTACCAAGATGATCATCCTCAACACCCCTAACAACCCGCTCGGCAAGGTGTTCACCCGGCCCGAGCTGGAGCTGATCGCTGAGCTGTGTCAGAGTCACAACGCGCTCTGTCTCTCCGACGAGGTGTACGAATGGATGGTGTTCAAGCCTGCCGAGCATATCCGTATCGCCGGCCTGCCCGGGATGTGGGACAGGACCATCACAGTGGGCTCGGCCGGTAAAACGTTCAGCGTCACCGGCTGGAAGCTCGGCTGGGCGTACGGACCGGCGAAACTGATGCACAACCTGCAAGTGGTGCACCAGAACACGCTCTACACGTGCTCCACACCGCTACAGGTGGGTTCGGGTGGTTAAGTGGCTGTTGGAGCGGTGGGTAGTGGGGTGCCTAGAGGGTTCGGGCTGCCCCTGGCGAATTCATAGTGTAAACGGCAGAGGATAGGTTGGTCAGTCAAATGTCGAAACAGGGATTGAATCGAATAGTTACTTTATAAATAGGCAAGCTGATCAATTTCACTTTACAATCATGAGGCTTACCGTGAAAACTGGTTGTACTCTGAATTCTGATTGTACTCTGACGTCCCTTGGTCCTGACCATCCTCAGGAGGCTCTGGCGCGCTCGTTCGAGCACGAGATGTCGCTGATGGGCTCTCCGGAGTGCTACTTCACCTCGCTTGCCAATGACGAGCTGCGGCCCAAGCGTGACTACATGGCCCAGTTCCTGACCGACTGCGGCATGAAGCCAGTTATCCCCGAGGGAGGCTACTTCATGGTGGCCGACTGGACGTCGCTCGGTTAGTGCCCGTGGAGGGATAGTTTGTTTTAGCTAAGGCATGTGGGGTTGTCGCGTCTGTAACGTTATTGTCGGCTGGTAGGCCCTGGGATGTGACCTTGTCAGTAAGAAGAGATTAAGACCTTGGCGCATTCTCTCGTGGTAATTGTGTCCATTGGATAATTTATTGGGGAGCTAAGTCGGCTATATTAGCGAACATGTCTTATTTAGTGAAGTTCTAGCACGAGCTGTACGTCATTTGTCCGATGTAGCCTGTTTCAGTATCATGTCAGCTGTGATTTCATGCTGACCCATTATTTTTTCATCGTCATGCTCATATGGGCAATATGTTAATCACTGATGTGTTCCTCGTGCTCCGCAGATAAGAGCAAGATCGACCTGAGTCCGTACACGCCCGGTAAGCCGGACGACCACCGGTTCGTCTACTGGCTGGTGCACCACCACAAGCTGCAGGGCATCCCGCCGTCATCCTTCTACTCGGCCGAGCACAAGAAGCTGGCCGAACACTACATCCGCTTCTGCTTCATCAAGGTGGGTCCGCCAGCTACGGCTGATATCACGTCACGATGCGGGAGGGGGCTCAGTGTCGCGGCTCTTGCGGCTAGATAACATGTTTCAATTTTGCAACACCATCAGCTCAGTTCCCGGTAATTTTTATGCATCGTGTTCATATGGTAAATATTTTACCCTACAGTTCCATAGAAAAGGTCCGCCGTCCCATGCCGTCCGTCATGGCTTGTCGTTGGTGATAGATCCGAGTTTGGGCCTAGGGGATGACGTAACAAATCTCAATAATCCGTGCTTCCTTTGCAGGACGACAAAAACCTAGAGAAGGCAGAGTCTATCCTGAAAGAGCTGAAGAAATCGATGGAATAGTGAACCCTACTTATACGGCCTTGAGTGGACCCATCGCGGGATCGCAGGTACTGCCCAGGCTTAACGCTGCCTTCGTTAGGGAGCACCCTTGCCATACTGTCAGCCAACTGACTCGAATGAGTAGATTATGAAGATGGTTTGGTCCTCTAGAAGATGACGAACGCATATTATCCCTTCACCTCCGTTGATGATCTGCGCAACACATGATTGTCTGTGTTGTATTTCGTTCGTCGCCGCCTCTGGACCGAGAGACGAGCTCTTATGTTCTTTTCTGCCCCATAGTGAGGTAGAAACAGTGATGTTATGCCTACACTGGCCGAACAGTTCCATGAAGTGAAGCAACCAACCTGGCGGCACCGGAGCCAGGTTGGTTGCTGAATCGTTAGTCCAATGTTAACACATTGTTGAGTCCCTGGCTCTATAATTTGGGCTGGGTATGTTTTTGTTACGAAGTCGAGTCCCTGGAATTGTTTGCAAGCACTGGTTTCTGTGATGTTTTGTTTTTCGTTGTAACTTTCAAGAGAATGAAAAGTGTATTATTTTTCAACATCATCTGTAAACACGTAAAAGAATTATACGGGACTCAATACTGTCTCTTGTCAAGCGCAATGTTTATCACTAGGCATGTTGGCAGGGACAACTGTGATTTTGTGAGCAAGGAAGTAACGGATTTTAAGAATCGGTGGCTGTTCGTGGTAAAGAAAGCAGAATAAAATTCGCATGAAAGCTGGACGGTTTGATCACTCCTTACGGACAACCATGGCGTTGAGGCTTCTGGCGTTGACCGTTTCCTTGCCGAACGTTCCTCCGAATCGGAACTGTTGGTTTGGAACGTGGCCGCCATACGTCGGCAGCAGGCCCTCCTGAACGCGATAGATCGGGTGCGGGTCCTTCCGTTTAAACATCTGCATCTTACGGCGCAGCCTGTCCTGACCGAGCGCGGGCACTTGGTTCATGATAGCCGGCGACACCCGGGCGCGGTTCAGCGTGAAGTCCTCGTTGGGATCGTGCTGGTTGAGCGCGTGGGGGCCGCAGCCTACCATCAGCGACGGATCGAACTCCTTGCCAATGTCCGGTATGTCCATGGTGCGAATCGGCTCCCGCGTGCAATCCCTCATCTGGTTGTCGGGCGGGTCATAGTCGCGGCTCTTGGTGCTCACCACCACCGGCTTGCAGAAGTTGTGCCGCACCCTGCACTGTTCGTCGGTGAACTTCCTCAGACCGCGGTTGGTGGTGATGGGGAACACGTTGCCGATCACCGGCTGGGTGTTGGGCACAAACCCAGTGTACCCCGACATAAAGTACTTGCGCGGATCGTCATTGCCCATAAAGTACGGCGATTCAACAAACTGGAACGGCGCCTGGCGGTCGTACGGGCCGGAGTAGGAGCCTCCGCCGGCCGAACGGAAGCCCTGGTTGTTGCGGCTCCACAGCGGCACCGGACAGTTGGCGTTGAAGCCCGACCGGCCGCCGTTGCACGTGTTCATGGCGGCCAGTGAGTTGGTGAGCTGCCGCTGCTGGCGCGCCTGAGACTGGTTGGTCTCGAAGTCGCGCACGGCCTGCTCGGTGCCGCGCGCGTAGCTCAGGCCGAACACGTTGTCGTAGGCGGGGATGCGGCCAGAGTAGCCGGGTACCATGTTGGTGGTAAGGCGCGGGTAGTTGCAGCCGGAGGAGCGCACCAGAGGGCCGATCTCCGGCTGCCGAAATCAGAAACACTTGAGTTTAGGATAAATAGGTCCAACGATGACGATATCGACGGTCATATACATAAGCACTCGCCAAGGATACTCCCATTACGTGCAAAAGCGATTTTAATACGGTTAATAACCTGAGTATTATCCATGAATGGACAATGATTTTCTCTTAACGATATGTTCTAATCGATAGAGTATGATCAATGAATTAACAGGAAGGATATTTTTTCATTCGAGCAAACCATTCGGTACTTACGTCTTTTCGGCCGACATTGAAGTTGAGTGGCTGAACCAAATTTCCCGAGCCCGGTATGCAGGGATCGGTGAGCAGTTTGTTTGATGTGTGCCCGAACGTATCGCCGAAATGGAAGGTAAACCCGGGCACATGACCCTGATACCTGAAAGGCAACACATCTCGTATAAGACAACGAAGGTACAAAAATGCTTGAAGGGCTTACACATTGCGCTTCAGGTATTCGTATACGAAATTACTTTAATACAAAATGACAGCCTCCATTGTAATTTCATGGAGGCTGTCATGTACTTTCAATACAGTTCACTCGACTTATACAAAACATTGCTGACACTTACCCAGGAATATAGTGTGGGTCCGGAGTTATCAGCGGGCTCAATTTTCCGTCTTCTTTGCGGGGCGGCATATTTCACGAAAATTTAGTAATTGATTACCGAAATATTGTAATTAAAGCCTTAAACTAAAATTTTGAAGAAATGGACACTGTCAAATTTGGAAGGTATCAAGGCACCTGAAAAATTCAGTCTAATATTTTTCGGCATGGCTCGTGCTAGTTACTCGGGATTTTAAACTAAGAGCACTTCCAGTCATTCCTTACCAACTAACTGACAGAGTAAAATGAATTAGGCCGACTGCAACATAACATGAGGCAGTCGGCGTTGTACCGTGCTGTACGAAGCGGAAAGTAACAGTACATAGTTAAAGGCAGTAAAGGCCATTAGATAAAGTTCCCCAGAGAAAGACGTTTTCTCAAACAGCCACAAATCAAAAAGGTTCGCTCCACTTTGACGGTATATTTATAAACATACGTCAATCATTCACAGACTAAAGTACATGGTAAGAATGAGGCTAACAATTTAACACGCCTGTGACTAGCGTACAGTAAATATGATGGTCATTTGCATTGCAAACACATTTATCAACTAAGACGCCTGAGATCGTCTTTGGACTCCTTCAAACGAGCCAGCTCCTCTTCCCACATCACTCTCTGAAAATAAAACGGGAAATACTCATTTCAACTAAAAGTAACACGGACATGAGGTTGAGCTTTACGAATAGGTGATCGGAATAGTTTTCAACTCCATCGTTATAGATGGGCAGCATCGTGTAACTGATAAATGATGACTAACTCATGACGGTTTAATGCTTTCGGCCAAATGAACACAAATTAAATGACATGGTTGGCAGGAGGTTGCGTCATGGGGTTCATTCCAAACATCAACCCACTTGTCACGAAACTAGAAGGAAAGTAAGAGCAAAAATGCATCCCACCATCCAAGGACCACTGTTCAGAAAATATCAGGAAGCAATCAACGAATCCCAGCCCCCTTCCCTCAGAATGTGTGACCCAAATGATTCCAAGCCCTCTCCCTCGCCCATGGCTCACCCTCTCCCGCTCCTGTTGCTGCATTCTCGCCGGCCGGCGGCGGAACTTGTTAGTCTGCATCAGCGCGTCGGACGTGGCCAGTTTGGACCGCACCTTCTCCATTTTGGTCCGCAGTAACTCCAGTTCAGCAGGTATGTTCACGTGATCCTGAGAAAGACAAGCCGGACGCTGAACATTGTAACATGCCCATACATTCACAAACGTAAAGATTAAATGAGTAAAACTTTGAGGTGCACCGCTGAGGCCACTAATGGTTCACAAATTTTCACAACGAATGAGGTTATTTTTCCCGCCATATTCACCATATGGTTTTAGAGACGCTTCCCGGGCATCCTCTGCTGGGAAAAGTCTCACTCGTGGGTGCTAATGCGCGACTCACATGCTCTGTGCAGGAGCCCTCCTCCCCCAGCCAAACAGCGCCTTCCACACTACAGAACACCCTCCCGCCAGTCCACCAGCGCCCAACTCTCAGTCCACCAGCGCCACAGTCCTCACCTGCAGATCGACCAGCGCCCTCCACTGGTGTCCCTGCAGGGGCAGTAGGCGCCGGACCGCGCCCTCCCCCGGCTGGGCGGCGTGCACCCGACATCGGGCCAGCGTGGAGACGACCGCCGCCAGCCGGTCACACAGTGCTGACTCCGTGGTCAGGTACACTGAAAGGGGAAGGGGTTAAGGGTTGGCTCGCACATTGGGTATGGGGAGAAGGAGCGGGCCAGCTGACATTGTGTACGGAGGGATAGGGTATAGCGGGGTACGTTGGGTACATGTGGGACGAAAAGCGGCAAAGTATTAACGTCAAGACGCCAAATAGTTCTCCAGCATACGTTCTTTCAAAACGGGTATAGGGCCATCGGTGAGTGACAACCCGACCAAAGCCCTCCCGTCGTACCTTCTGGGGTCGTTTTGCCGATCCTGTACTTGGTCTTCATGGCCCTCAGTTCTCTCACGGCGTCCAGGCAGGTGGTGAACGAAGACTCCAGAGCTTCGTCACGCCAGTGATCATACTGAAACAAAGGGTACCGGACGTCAGAACATCAGCGTATATTCTGGGGCACAACTGCACATGGCAAACGTCCGGTCAACAGCGTGCATTCGAACAATTAACACCCAACATTCGATGATCAACCAACCAACGATTACCTGTAGGTAAGCATTATGACAAATGGCCCGGAATTAACAGATACACTATCACTACCAGACACCAGTGTCATATCTGTCAAACGTTTAAGCTTAAGTATCCACAGTTTTAAGTTTAGGTTACTTAAAATTACTTGACTCCGACCGCCGAATTCCCGATCCCGCCCGGTACCTACCTGCTCCGGCCGAGGGTAGGACCGCCGCAGCAGCAGTCCCGACTCCTGCGAGTGTTCCGTCAGCCTCTCCCCCAACTCCTCAGTCAGGTGCGGCATGAACGGGTGCAGCAGGCGCAGGCCGGCGTCCAGAACACAGACCATGACGTCACAGCAGCGCTGGCGGGTCGTGACGTCATCAGAGTTCAGCACCGGCTTCACGGCCTCCTGTCGAGGGCGGGGAGGGGGGAGTCAGTGAGATGAACGAGATCGACAGAGGCGTTCTGAACTTGACGGTGTGTCGAACAGACAGCGGGGAATGCGAAAGAAGGCTAAGAAAATACGCATCGACAACTAAACGATCACGACGGAAATAACAATGAACATAACCATAAAAAATATGTCGCTTAAGTATAATTGGGGTTTAGGGGTGCGTCGATAGTATCTTTGCTAGGCATCCAGCGATAAAACTTTTCCCATTTGATTATGAATCTGCTTCTACCAGCCCCCTGCCTCATATTTTCCTACGTGCAACTCTTTTCCACGGACCGGTGCTAGCCCCTCACCAGGTATACGTCACAGAACTGCCTGTAGAGCAGCTGCTGGACAGCCGCCGTCGCCGTGTGTAACCGGTGGTCATCCATGGCGGTGTTACACGTCCGAACGCAGTCTGACAGACAACTGAGCATCCACCGGTCCGCGCCGACTGCTGACTCCAGTCGGGACAGCCTGAGGGCACAGCGGGGCCAGGGAGAGTCAGGGAGGAACTGGTAACCATCCACCGGTCCGCACCGACTGCCGATTCTAGCCGGGACAGCCTGGGGGCACAGCGGGGCCAGGGAGAGTCAGAGAGGAACTGGTAACCATCCAACGGTCCGCGCCGACTGCCGACTCTAGTCGGGACAGCCTGAGGAGTGAGGGCACAGCGGGGTCGGGGAGCGTCAAAGAGGAGCAGGTACAGGGTGTCCAGAAAAAAAGATACTACGGAAATTAAGTCGCATTTATTAACGCACGTGCCGATTTTGTTCCAACTTCATGTGCTTATAGTGCAAGATTTGGCAAAACTCATGAGCACTGTAATGCGTCGTTGGAAAGTTGTCTGCCTGCCCTCCGAGAGGGTCAACATGACCATCAGTCACCTGCCGACCGTGCTAGTGCTGGAGCTGATCCGCCGGAAGGCCGCTCACATTGAGTATCTGCTTTGAGGAGCTGCCGCGACTAACCAAAGGGTTTACATGCCATGTGGCACCTGCTGTCTGTTTTGCCATATATTTGCGAATACAAGCATGTGCCATTTTAAAATGTGCGGTGTTTATTTTCGGAATTACAGCAAAAAATAATAGTATCCGTTTTTTCTGGACACCCTGTAGGCATACGGGGGTTGGCCGTGGGACAGTCTGAGGGCACAGCAAGGTCAGTGAGGTTTAAAGCGGAACTGCAGATAAGCGTGCGGAGATCGGCCGGGCAAACTTGCGGGTCCTGAGAAGAGTTACGGAATACGGGTTCAGGAAAAGACCAGCTGCAAAGATCAACGCGAAGAAGCTAGCAGACGGTGAAGGAAGACTACAAAAGGAGAAGCGATCAGATAACCGGTCGGTGGGCGTATGCTTGCCGTGTCTCCTCGTCGCATTTGTAGCCGCTCACCGCCAGATGGCCCAGAGCGAAGCGGCACGCCTGCCACAGTTTGTTTCCGAACAGCCGGGCCTGACGCGCCTCCCGTACGTCCAGATTGAGCACAGTGTCTGTGAAGAGGGGTAACGGGAATCAGCTGATGTCAACGCACAATACACGAAGGACGAGCCGTCCTCGTAAGTCGTAAGGCTAGGACACTGTTCCGAAGACTGATTAGAATTTGATCTGAGGGATCCACAGGGAAACTTGTTTTGTTTACGGTCATACATCACTTTCCCCTACAAATATAACAACATATTCAAACATTAAGATTAAACTGCATGCTGAAATATAAGAAGCAAGAAAGGTGGCATCATAGATGGCAGGACCCGGCGGATAGGGCACTAGCGGCGGGTCTCACTTCGTAGGTCGGTGGAGCACAGCGACAGGCGCAGGGCGTCGGCGCCGCACGTCGGAATGCCCTCCGGGTAGAGTGAGCGCTGGCCCTCCTTGGCCCTGACCGCCTCCTCCGCGGAGATGTAGCCGTGCGCCGCCGAGTCGTCCACCTGAAAATAAACAGATCTTTATCTTGCCCAATAAATCATGCAGCACTAAAAAACTTGTAAGTACCACAAATTTAAGCGTAAAGTGGGCGGGAAATCGAAGAGAACAAATGCCTTGAATGACGAGACATGTCTATTTCAATAGCTCGGATATAAACGCATAGCCCTAAAACGTCCTTAATGCGACCTACGACAAATCGACCTGCATTTGGCGGACAGCTGCTCGGCGCCAGGCACCGCCACACAGCACCTACCTGTTGGTGAAGGCGGTCGAGGGAGGCTCCTTCAATGATGTGGTCGGGGTCGATCACGTTTCCCAGGGACTTGGACATTTTCCGGCCGTGAGCGTCACATATCAGGCCGTGGAGGAGCACTTTCTGACCGAAAAACATGGAATCCGAGATCAATTTGTGCGACCGGAACCGAGGGTTATGTTTAGCAAAAGCTTTCTTAACTAGTGACATCGCCAAATCGATTAAAACAGCCGGTAGCACATGCCCGACCAGTGACCTTTGATAACGGTATTGCCAGCTGGTACTATATACCATGAGATTTATGTCACAAGACACATGACTGTATCCACCAAGTAATTTTAAACACCGTTCCACGGGTTGTACCCGTGTTCCACCCCGGGTGCCCTCTGACCTTGAACGGCAGCTGACCGGTCAGTGTCTGACCCAACATCACCATGCGGGCCACCCAGAAGAACAGGATGTCGTGGCCAGTCTCCATCATCGACAGCGGGTACCAGCGGGACAGGTCAGCAGTCTAAAAAAAGAAAGAACAAATTATGGTTTAATTATGGAGTTGCTCCTTGTCTGTGCAACTGTCATCCCACAGCCAATGGGCAAGACGCATTAAAAAACAACAATTAACAGTAAGTTCAGTTGTATTTTGGAGACTGACCTGTTCTGGCCAGCCAAACACAGCAAACGGAAATAGCGCCGAAGAGAACCACGTGTCCATGACGTCATCGTCTTGCCGAACAGAAATGACGTCATCAGCCTGCAAACCTGAAACAGCACGCAAAGAATAGGTCATGGAAATTAAGAGGCTGCGAAATAGCTGCCATGTGACGGAATTGTCACCATCAGTGTATAAAGTCAGCGACATCATCGAATTCATACAAGCAGGGCTCTCGGCATTCCATCCAAGCATCCCATCCAATCCAATATACGCCGACAGTGATCCCCAGTCAGCCGTGGTTGGTCACCCCCCCCCCCCTTCCCCCACCCAGGTAGAACCTTCCCATACTCCAACCCTCGCCGGCGGCACGACGTACCTAGTTTGGCGATGGCCTCCTGCTGTGAGCCAGCCACCGTCCACCGCTCCGCGCCGTCTCGATTGGTGACACAGAACGCAGGGATTCGGTGGCCCCACCACAGCTGACGGGACACGCACCAGTCCCTGGGGGTCAGGTCAGAGGTCAGGTCACAGGGCAGGTCATAGGTCAATCACAGCTGGCGGGTCACGCACCAGTCCCTGTGGGTCCGGTCAGAGGTCAGGCCACAGGTCACTGGCCTCAACATAGCTGGCGAGACACACACCAGTTTCTGTGGGTCAGGTCAGAGGTCAGGTCACAGCTCACAGGTCAATCACAGCTGGCGGGACACACACCAGTACCTGTGTGTCAGGTCAGAGGTCAGGTCACAGATGGCGGGACACACCAGCCCCTGCGGGTCAGAGGTCAGAGGTCAGGTCACATGTCACTGGGGCCACCACAGCAGCTGACGGGACACAGTCACACAACAGTCAGAGGTCAGGCCAGAGGTAAGGCGAAATGGTGCCACCTAGAATAAGATCAGTTATCACCCAGCATAGCCCTACGCATGCCGAGGTATGCACCAAGGTATGAAACATACCAGCAAATCGAAAACGAAATTCCAATGGAATGACCACTAAAACGACTCAGGTAATTAACAGCGACCGAGTTTCAACCATCACTGCTGTCGGGGTTCACCTCGGTTGGTTTGCTGCTGAGTCTTCCCAGCCTGCATCCGCGGATGTCTATCCTAGGTGTCGAGATAGTGTCTGTACCTGGACTCCTGGAGCCACTGTTTCCAGATATGTCTCAGCGACGGAGGCTCCAGTACCAGCTCTCCCGACTCCACGGCGGCCAGCGCCGCCGCTGCCATCTCTTCGCAGCGCACAAACCTGCAGTACGCGCACGAGGACGTAAGATACGATCATACGAGAGCCTAAATGTACTTACTTTAGAAAGACTACTCATCATGAATCATAGCATCATCAGTAAGGCCGGAGTTAAGCTCACAAAAATATGAATTACATCATTCAAATACTTTGAATATTTAAGTTTTGCGAATAAATAGAGGAGTTTACGGCGGCGGTATGCAAAGTCAGCACGTTCAGCGATGGAACGGGAGCGACACCCAACCTACCAAGGCGCCCTGAGTACTCCGCCCAGCCGACTCACCACTGGTGTTTGACCATCGGCTCTATGACGTCACCGGTTCGTGAGCAGACGGGCACGGAGAGCTGGTGAGGTCTCTGGTCGCGGAGCAGACCGCGCTGCCGCAGAGCGTCCAGCACGGCCAGCCGGGCCTCAGAGCGCGTCAGACCCTGGCGGCGCGGAAACGTTGTCATCAATTATTGATATTGTTGCATGAAATACGAGTCTAAAACTATGATAACAGACGCGGGTGTCGGTTGGTCAAGACAAGACATGTCTGACAATGTATGCCGATGCTATTAGTTTATTTGTGTTTCCTTTGTATTTTAAGACAATGCACGGCTGCAATGTTGCACAAAACACGAAATCCGGAAAGCTTTAACACCAGAGTAAAGACGTAAATGCCATGAACAGCACAGGCGACTCAGAGTCACAAGGAAGAGTGAGTTTGTGCGAGTACCTGAAATTCGCCGCCATTTTCGTTTATCCTGCCGTCTTCTGAGAGGATGGTCAGTGATTCCAGCTGGTGACGTTTTCCCACTTCGAAATCGTTGGGGTCGTGGGCAGGAGTGATCTTAACAGCTCCTGCAGTCAAGAATAGACAGAAACTCAACATGTGCGCACCTCGAAAGAGCATCGTTGACTATTGCAACAGCAATCTCAACATGCCACACTGATTCCGTATTTATCTATCAGATACAAAAGTAGAAAATCAAAAGGAAACCCTCGAGCCTAAAACGTACATTTATGTAAATCCCATAAAAGCATGCCTTGAGCTGAATTCAGCAACGCTTCACATCCACTTTGCTTGCCAGATAAATCTGCAATGAGCCCCCGTCATCTCCTTTTCCTCCCGAGTCCCGTCCTCATCACCAACAAATCCTCCCAGGCCCCGCCGCAGGGTCACCTCCTTTTCCTCTCACCGGTGCCGAAGTCGGGCCGCACGCTCTCGTCCGCCAGGACGGGTATGGTGGGTTCTCCGGGTCGCAGTGGGTGCGTCAGACGCCGGCCGACCCAGGACGCCCACCGTTGGTCGCCAGGGTGGACGGCCACCGCCGTGTCGCCCAGCATTGTCTCCGGACGGGTGGTGGAGACGACTATCTCCTCAGACGGGTCTGTAACGGGGGGGGGGGGGTGAGATGGGAAGACGGTGCGAAAGCAAGGGACTAGGAATTATAAGGGAGAGCCGTGCATGGTCATCGCCCATCGGTGGCTAGTGGCTTCTGGCAACTGATTTGACGAGAAAGCAGCAGGTGTAAGCCTTCGCACGGAAAGCTACGAAACAAAACTGACAACCAATCTATTATTGTTGGTTTATCACATGGAAGTGATAATGGAAGTTGATTGTCACAGACAATGGACTCCTCAGACCCCCCCCCCCCCAATCTTTTTAAGACCAATTCTCATAAACACTGATCCGTTCGATGTTCATGTGTAACAATCGACTTACAATCTGTCCCTGCCCCTTTCATCATTACTGCCTCCTAACCTTGATCCCAGCGGTAGGCGAAGTCGACCATGGCGCCGTCCACTGTTTTGTGCTCCACCTCGATGTCTGAGACGGCCGACTGCAGATGACAGCACCAGTTGACGAGCGCCTCCGATCGGTACACGAGTCCGGCGTCATACAGCCGAACGAAGGCGGCCGTCACGGCAGCAGACATGGTCTGTCGGTCACAGCGAGTGGTCAGAGCGGTCAACATGGTCTGTGGGTCACAGCGAGTGGTCAGAGCGATCCATATGGTCTGTGGGTCTGATCGAGCGGTCAGAGCGGTCCACATGGTCTGTGGGTCACAGCGTCGGCAGTAGGATGACGAGATGTCATCAGGAGGGAGGGGACGTAATCGTGGGGAGGTGAACTGACGTGGAGCTATCGGGATGGGAAAGGTGACAGTAAGAGTAAGACGCCACCTTACGCCATCTTACAAGCGCAATATACGTTGTCAATTACAATAATACGACGTTGTCGATCACATTTCCAAATAAGATAATATGTTCGTGCGCACGTCTTGCACGTACACCGATGAGATCACGCTGACTGTAAAGTCGACGTACCGGGTTCATTGTGAAGACGGCTCTGTCCCAGTCGAGGGTGACTCCGAGCGCCTTCATCTGATGGTGGATCTGCTCTGAGCGGTCCGACTTCCACTTCCACACCCGCTTCAGGAATCTGAGACCAGCACAGCCGGGGAACGGTACAATGGGTTACGCTGCTGGAAATATGTGAAAATACGGTACCGGTTTGCACAGAATGGTGAGCAGATCACCAGACTGCAGAGGAAGCATGCACAGTACGCATCTTTTATTTGGACTTAATTCACTTCTAGACATTCATAAACTGAAGCGATGCATAAGCCAAGTATTGATAAAAAGTCACGACAGCACGTCTTGTTATTGACGGGAGCAACGTCAGGTCCGATGGCCGTAAAATGTAAAAAAAAAAAAAAACAAATAACGTGACAGGTCGCATCGCACAGTCCACTATTCTCGCCACACTCTCTGTAACAGAGAGTTAACGGGAACGGTTCCCGCCCCACTCCCCGCTCTTGTCCCACCCACCGGTCCTGTCCCTTCCGCCTCCCCTTCCCACTCACTCTTCCCTTCCCAGCTGGTGCCGTGTGGTCCGCTGTTCGGCCCACAGCGACTTCTCCACTATGACCTGAGTGGCGATACCGGCGTGGTCGGTACCGGGCACCCAGATCACCGCGTCGCCCCGCATCCGGCGCCTGTGACAGGGGAAAGACGGGGGACGGGAGTGGGTTACCCGCCGGTCATACCAAGATTACTTTATACAGTGGACACTAGATGCTGTTATAGATCGGACGCTGATCCGTCTGATACAGAACGCCAAGGACGGGAATTATTTATTCGACCGTCATAAAAGCTAGGCAAAGAACGGATGTAACTATATTACTACGCCTATCACAGGCAGGACACAGTGTTTATCTATTAGCCTGGTACATTTTTATTTTTTATTATAAATTTAGCTCAAATTTTTAAACGGACGGATTGACAGAGCCAGAGCCCAAGCTAAGCAGAGCTTGTTGCGTAGACCCCGACCCCTACCGTGCGATCACGCAATTCCAGGTAACGGGAGAATTTAGATGCCAAAGTTTAACGTGAACATCAAAGCCGGACACGGCCTGTTCTACTCAACTGACTTCAACTGGCTGCGGCTGCTCCCACCAACCGCAGACCATCCCCGTCAGGAGTCTCAAATATCGAGCGTCGGAGCGACTCGAACCCAGGCTCTCACCACCGGGAGTCCAACACGCTCTACCAACTGAACTACGGGACAGGCGTTTGCGGAGCCGTAACAGAGGAATAACATAAAACAGAAGCCGTGACAGAAAACATAACAGAGGAATTAAGCTAGGCGCCGGGCAGACCAGATTCTGGTGAAAAAGGGCAGACAGATTCATTACGGTTTATTCCATAGCTTGTGACACATCAGAAAACACAAGCATCCCACTCTCGCGGCCAACGCCTCCGCTCCCTCTCCTGCATAGACCATGTAACCACCACCTCCTCTACTCAGTCGTCGCATCCATCTCCATAACAACCTGACACATCTGAACGTCACCCCCTCCCTCAACTCGATCGCCGCCTCCTCTCCTCTCCTTTTCCTCAAGACAGTCCAGCACAACCAGCGTCGCCCCGTCACTTGGCCGCCGGTTTCCGGGCCATCAGTAGAAAGCTCTGACGGCGCTCTGTAGCCGACGCCACATCGATTCCCCGACTCTGGGCGTCGTTGACGAGGGCACACATCTTCTCCCGGGTGCGGCGCAGCAGCGAGTCGCCGTCAGCGGCTCCGCAAGCGGCCACCATATCCTGAAAGCAGGACCAGGTGGCAATCTCACCGAGAGCGAGCTCCACGGAGAAGGGCCGCTCGATGAAGTAACTCTGCTCGTCCCACTCGATCTCCGGGTAGGAGATTAGCGCCGCCGCCTTCCGAGTTACGGGTGTTAGGTCTTCCATCAGTCCGGGAATTCGCCAGTACTTGACCAGTTGCACGTGCGACACCTCTCTTACAATATCGTCAAACTCGGTCCACACAGTGCCATCGGCCAGTCGGATGGACGGCTCTTTGTAGCCGTAGATAGCGACCACTCCGCCGGGTGCCAGGACCCGGTCGACCTCGGCAAAAAACCGCTGCTGGTCGAACCAGTGGAAGCACATCGAGGCGGTGACGAGGTTCACCGATCCGTCCGGCGCCGGGATCTCCTCCGCTGGGGACACCTGGTAGGTGATGACGCCGCCGCTCTTATCGTTGCGGGTCGCCTCGGCTACCTGGGCGGGACTGATGTCCGTGCCCAGGACCGACTCAAAGTGCGGCGCCAGCACCCGGGTGTTCTGGCCGTTCCCGCAGCCGACGTCAACGGCACGGTGCAGGGGTGAAGAGTGGCGAACGAACTGCAGCACGCGATCTATCAGCGCCGCCGGCGGCTCGGGACGAAACTGGACGTACAGGCGCGCGTGCTGAGAGCCCTCGAACGCACGAAACATGGCGGCGATGGTGAGTGGCTGGTGCGACGGTGAGCTGGAGACTTGTGAGACGGTGAGCGACGGTCGCTGAGACGGTGAGCGACGGTCGCTGAGACGGTGAGCGACGGTCGCTGAGACGGTGAGCGACGGTCGCTGAGACGGTGAGCGACGGTCGCTGAGACGGTGAGCGACGGTCGCTGAGACGGTAAGCGGCGGTCGGTGAGATGGTAAGCGGCGGCCGGTGGCAGTTCAGCAGTTCCTGGAGAGTTGTTCAGACTGGTGGTGAGCCCGCCGCACTATATAGTCTGCTCCTTCAGGGACGGGTGTCGGCAGAATCCGAGCACTAACGGTTTGCTCCAGGTGGTGTAACGACACAAGGATGAGTGACGGCTGGACTGCCCTCTGAACCACTGACCCCTCTCGGGTGACTGACTTTACGCTAGTGGACGCCCAAACAGCACTGGAGTAGGCCCGCGCCTTAATGACATGGTGCATGTCGGAGATGTATAAACAGGCTCCAACGTACACATACGTCAAGTGAAGAAATAAACACTCGATGCCCCTAGTTACGGCTGGTTTTAATCTTGTGAACGGTCTTAACACGTGTTAAAGCATTTCATCACATTCTTATACCTACGTGGAAATAGCCGCATCATCAGATTCAATCAGATCAGATCAGATATGTATTCATCGAGGGTCCACAGCAAAAAGTGGCTTTTCACCTGACACGTAAAGCAGATAAAACCGATAAAACATAGGGTAAGTCGACATGGCATGGCATCATCATAGCACACACAAATCACGCACACGACATTCACACCAATACCACCTCAGTGACGTCTGGTAAGAATCGCGTTTTTTGCCTCTCGACGGAACGATGGCAAATACGGATCCAAGTTCATGTCGTTCAACATCGAGACCCCCCTGATACACAGTCGGCGCCTCCCCGTCTCGGTTCGGGGTCGTGGTTGTGTCAATCTGCCGGCGTGCCTTGTGTTGTGGTCATGTAGGTCGCGGGCTAATGGACCGATGGTTTGACTGATATATTCAGGAGTTCTCGTGGTGATAGCTCGCTGGACTGCGCAGATAGTGTGGTACTCGGCTAACTCATCAGCTCGCAGCCAGCCGAACCGCTCGATGACATCGGAGATGTGGTCACTGCGTCTGCGACCGCTGACGACCCGCGCACAAAAGTTGATGATCTGCACGCGAGCCATCTGTGTCACACCACACGACCCGTACACACTCATGCAGTACCGCACAATGGAAAGAACCAGGGCCTGCACTACAAACCTCAGTGTGCTGGATGGCATCACGTGACGTGCGTGGGCGAGGGCGATGAGTATATATACGCAAATATAAATATACTATACCGAGTCAAATATACGCATCTTTCAGATTCAATGTATCGTAAGAAGATCGAACCAGATTCAGAGTCTCCCGGACGACGAAGATTCTACGTCGCGTGACCAATGCCGTTCAAGGTCGGCGGGGGCTTGGCTGCGGTTATCGAACGGATTGGCCGGACGACGTAGAATGTTTTTCGTCCGAGGAGACTGCGAACACGCCCTAAATCTCTTCTCTAATCGCCATAGCGCGAGTCAGGCGCAGGTAGATTTCGTTATAAGACCGGCCCAGTCTAAATAAACACCAGACGGTGTGGGAAACGCGGCAGCTAATTAATTGTGAGTTGCCATTAGGTACTGCAGTGCACTTGAGTAGAACAGCAGCATATGATAACACAAATGTCAAATATAGGTACACATCTTTCATTCGCTCATGGAAATACAGAACCACTGTCCCAGGCTCGAACAGTCATACCGTCGCGGGAATATTCAGACTCACAGAGCCATTTCTTGAATGACAATGTTTGACTTCTTAAAGGGACTATCCCACCTTCTAAAATGTTGTTAAAACCAGTGAAATTGTACCCGACTTTATAGATTGAATGACCAGGAACACGGTTCTGGCATTTATTTTTCATTAAACATCTTAGGCTTCCCATATTCCAAACACAAACTTTCAAATATGTGACGTAACAGGCCAAAATTACCTCCTTCCCCAGGCCACATTACTGTCATAAAGCTGATTCTTTTTACTCTGTAGGCACCACAACAAAGTTCAGACCAAGTTTTAAGCGATTTTTCAACGAACAAACCCATTTAAATCAGAATGACTAAACGAGGTGACGCCACACTAACGGTCGCTCCATGTTGAAGATAGGGCCTTGTACAAGGCCCATTTTCAAATGAAGGGAACGAATTTCTTCAACACCAAGAGGCCGCGGGGGTTGCAACCTAGATAGATAGTGGTTTCTGAACCTCGCCGCAAACTTGGCTATCTCAACTCAAACCCCATGTTAAAGGTGGGATAGTCCCTTTAAATGTCAATGAATTACCTTAGCATATCAATGCATATTGCTCGATGGGCCTATAAGGCTAAAGACATCCAAGGATCCGTTTAAATATCGGCCAGTGGCGAGATCACTGGTAGTGGTGACCTTATTAGGTTACCGAGAGGCCGGTCAGTGATTTGTCGAGAGGGCCCGTTTGATGAAAACAGAGGCCACTAGTACCATGACTGCGGAGTCGACAGTTCTTCAGTGACCTTGACTCAAGGCTCATAGAATCGACTCCAACTGCGACTCTAAGCATCCCAAAGTCCGTATTACGGTGAAATGACTCGTGACTCTGCGTCTGCAGATTTTCCTTTGCCTGATTTTTTTTTCTGGGAACATTAAAAAAATTACATTATATTGAGGTGCAACTCTGAGCTGCCAGCCCCGGGTCCTCGACAAGTAAGAAAACTCCAGCAGAAGCAACAACATCCGATAAAGACTGAATTACCATAACAGTCTATGAGGTGGGGGAGTCAGCTTACAGAGGTCCATATTCCATGAGCTCACAATACTCTCCGAGGTCCTAAGCTCGCATGATTCAATACCGTATCCAACGTGCACCGCATATTATGACGATCGGTCGAAAACGAGTCAGCTTACAAGCATACAAGGTAAGAGCATGACATTGAGCCACATTTTACCGACCCCGAAGACGGGGTCGGTAAAATGTTGCGGCTCCGACTCCAACTACAGCCAGTAAGAACTGTCGACTCCGACCGACCTCAACTCTAACCCAGACTCCACAGCCCTGGTTTATACCACCTCAACAGTGATAACGGATTGTCGTGACGATAGTCAGTAGCGAACGAGGACCCCACAACACGACCTCGACGATAGAAGACCTCAACGATTAACAACGATAGTCTTACCAACGATAGAGAACCCAAACTGAGCGTCTTACCAGCGACATAGGGCGTCCTGGATGCTGATAGTTAGCGCATGCCCCAGGTGAAGGCGGCCTGTGACGTTGGGTGGCGGCAGGACCAATGAGAAACGACCACCAGTGACATCATCGGGTCCTGCGCCGGTGCCGTCATCCTTCCATCGGTCACTCCACTTCTTCTCCACAGCTGCAGGCTCATAGGCTTTGGCCAGACCTGAGGGCACATGAATGTACTTGGGTGACAGTTTGAATAATTTATGAGGTCACAAAATGAATCACATCAGATAGGGAGGAATGCCAGGGAGGAAATGGAGTGGAAATGGCGAGAAATGGACAGGGAGTGGCAAGAACAAAGGAAGACCTCCTATAAAAAATGAGAAAATTGATTCTTATCGACAAACAGAAATCAGGCCTTTATCACTATTCACTAACTGTATGTTGTTCATTTATCATAAAGAAGGAATGTCACACGTACACAATATAACTACATTGCCGAATGTATTCAATGATGCAATGTTTACTTGTTCAGTTCATTTACAAGTGTTTAAAAGCATATCAACTCCATTATCATTAGCACCACAAATAAAGCCTAAGCTACACTAGCATGAATTCCGACGTTTTTTTCGGTTTCTGCGGGATTTCGGCTCGCATCGTCAAGTTCGCCTCATAGCGAATGCATTGCGCAAGCTACACTGCCAGTCTGGCGTCCCGTGGAACGAAAACCCGCAAAAACCGACGAGTCGGAACCGAAAAAAAGTTCAGAGCTGTGAACTTTTTTTCGGTTTCTGCGGGATTTCGTTTTAGTGATGGATGATTAGAAGTGATTGTTGCTAATAATATTGTGACGATGGAACAGTTTCAAATGTAAATAATGAAAATGGTGTAATTCATGATTAAATAAGACAAAATGTGTTTCAAAACTCATCATTCTACATTAAATATGATAATTGTAATTAAACTGACAAATGATTATGATCGAAAATCTTTTCTTGTTAGTTGCAAAATCTTTAAAACAATTATTTAATCATAATTTTGTTAAAACACGATAATATTTAACATGAATAATTAAATAAGTTTATCACTTATCCATCACTATGCTATAAACAACACCGTCCACGCGGCGGCCGCCCGGAACGAAAAAACGCAGAAACCGTAAAAACGCGGAAACCGAAATCACGCAGAAACCGAAAAAACGCTGATAGTGTAACCTGAGCTTAACAGAGTTCACTTCTGAACTGTAAAATCTTACCATCAAGATCAGCACTGTTGGGGCATGGTGTTGATGTACCAAACTCTGCTAAGGACTGAGCCACTCTAAAAGGTGATGGTAATCTGCCAGCGCAAACCCAGGTTCTTCTATGAAACATGCTGAGCATTTTGGTGAGTCTGAAACACGGGCACTTTGTTTAAGATAAAACACAGCTACCTATGCACCTAGGGACATAAATGTGTATTGTGCATGAAATAGTTCTGAAAAAAAAAACTTTTAATTCAATGTATGAATAAAATAATGCCTAAAAATAATTAAAAACAAGCACTGTCATCCACAGCCTAAGGACTCAACTATGTGCGATGATATCCTTATGTACATTGTACAGCCCTCAGCAGACTGCGTGGTAGGTATTCATTTTCCGACAAAACTGACAAAACAACATTTATGTGAGTTTGAGTTGCTTTAAACTTGTTAGCAGTTCATTAGGAATCAAAATCTGTGGAATTTTGGAACTTAGTTATTTGGTCGTACTCATATAGCGTATGCCGGCCCAAGTGCCGGCCCTTGCTGTTGCAGCGCCAGCATCCAAGACTGAGACCACCTTACTGGATTGGATTCGCACGTGCATACAATTGTGCTAGTTATAAACACTTAAGTATCAATTCATAAGGGGCTGCTGGTGCATGAGCCCAAGGCTATATAAACCAGGTAGAACGCTCCCGACGAAAAAGTGGTGACAAGCGATAATTAGTAGCCGCGACCCTCTTTTGTTCAAAACTATATCCGCAAGCAGCATTTACAGGCTAGCGGAAATCGACCAATCGGCGTTCGGCAATACTCAACGCTGATTGGCCCGATGCTCGTGACGAAATTGCGGGGGACTGCAGCTATTCCCCTATGGCGTTTAATAGACTTACGGCTTTTGAAGGGGATTTGTACCAGTTTTTGTTGGGTTTGAGGCCATTTTTGAGCTTGGATATTCTTTCTGTGACTTTTGACTGTGTAATAACGACATTTAATCATAACATTTCTATATACTACCGGTGTCACATCGACCAAAAAGACCGTAAGTACATGGGATAGACGGACCACTGCTGATGGGGCCACACATGCCGGCGTGTGGTCATCGGAGGCCCATGAGGGCTCGACATAGGCCCTTCATGGGTCGGTATAGGCCCGGTGGGTCCAGTGCAAGCCTATCAGGGGCCGGTGCTGACCCAACAGGGCCCAGTGACATATAATGTAAGGCCGTCTAGGGACGTTGAGGGCTCATGGGGGCCATATAGGACCAATAGGGACCACATAAGCCAATCAGGGGCCATTTAGGCCAATAAAGGCACTTCAAGGGACTTGAAAAGGTCATTCAAGAGCTGTGGTGGGCCCATGAGAGGACGGCACTGGTCCAGCAGGTGCAGTCAGGGGATGTTGTACGGGTTTCTCAGTGGCCCATTTGGGCATATCAGTGACCAATTTAGACCCAGCAGTGGGCTTTGTAGACCTATCAGGGGCTGGTGATGGTTCATCAGGGGCCAGCGTTAGTCCATCGGGGCACGGCATATGCCCATCAGAGGTAATTGCGAGCCCACGCTGAACAATGCTGGCCCTTCAACGGCCCCATGGATCTACATTGACCCATGGGCCATGATGTGTCATGTATGCCCCTATGACAGGCCTACTCAGACCCCTGATGGACGTTCCCGGCCTCTGATGACCCTATGCTGAATGCTGATGGGGCTCTAAGAGTCTCCAATAACCCTTCGTCACCCCATTATTACCATACGCTGGCATTAGGGACCCCACATCAGCCGCAGGGCAGTCCGTACCATGACAGCATGTCTTTTCGGCCGATATTTCATCGGTAATATTTATCAAAATCATGATTTTATGGTGCCATTATATAGGTAACAGTCATAAGAAATATATTTCAACTCGAAAACAGCTCGAAACAGCATATAATTTTAAAGAAACCCCTCCGAAATCCAAAAGCCTATTCGGGTCCATAGAGAATAACTGCGGTCCCCCGCAATTTCGTCACGAGCGTCGGACCAATCAGCGTCGAGTACCGCCGAGCGCTGATTGGTGAATTTTCCGCTAGCGTGTAAGTACTGCTCACGGAACAAGAGTTCGTCGACAATCCTCCACAAACGTCTGTCACCATTTTTCATAATGCTTAACAGCCGGAGCGTACCCCCCTGCATGAGCCTATATTACAGGGCTGCTGTGACAAACAGAGCCCTTTGCACAATGAAAATGTAAAAAAAATGTTTGTACCGAGGCCCTCAATGTTTTCTCATCCTATACATGTGAATGGTGACCATTAAGAGATTGTTCTTTTTGATGCTTGTTACTGGACGGGTGTCTTGCTTTCAAATGAAAATTAGCGCATGTGTAAGCAGTAACACAAGCGCTAAAATCACAACTGAACACGGCTTACTGCTGTATTTTCTGCGCCACTTTTCTAGTGAAACAACAAGAATAAAAATTATGGTTTGTTGCATTTTTTTCATAACTCTTTATTTTTTCAATAATTGTTTTTAAACCGAAAATTCAAAAAAGTCAAATTACTGCTTCTATAGATGAGATGTAAAAAAAAATCAAATGTAAAAAAGATGTGTTTGTTTTAGTTCATGGCTACTCAGATTCGTTGGCAACCATTTTGAATTTTCAAAACAACTTTAGTAGCGTGTGGGAGTTCTCGCGTGTCGTGTGTTGTTTTATGCATATGCTGCGAAGTAATTTGAAAAGGCTACATATTGCAGCCTGACTTCAGTGTTCACACATTTTTATTGTCCTACAACAGCCATGGCGGCAGTGCTGGAAGAGCTAGGCTCAAAGTTGACTGATATTGCCGGGATTAAAGTTAGCTTTCCCGTCAAGGAGGACAAAGATTTCATTTTGAAAATATATGCCCGTCTGTGTTTAATGTACGATGAAACATGGGACTGTGGAAATGCATCAATCTCATTGTCATGCAAGAAAATTTTAAGGTGGGTTTGATAATTGGTGTGTGCCGCGAGAGAGATTAGGATGCCTGTCGTATGAGCAGTTCAGTCATATTGGGCTGGGTTTTTAATTTGCACCTTGTTTATGAGCTACTATACTGTCATGTATTTTAAGTTAAATGCTTAAATCCTTTAAAAATAACCGAAGAACTGAGCGAACAGATCATTTTGCTTTTGGGACGGGAGGTGTGGTTTGGCCTGGGAACATTTGCCCTACTTAATGATAAATTTTATCATGCTGGTCAGGTTTTTATTGGGCAATATTTTTTATGCTTTAATAGCCTTTTCTTTAAGCATTTCATTTGGGGTTAGTAGACAGGGCAATGAAAATTGTAATGAATATGTTCTTTTTAAGTCTCGCCAGACTAGTGTCGAGTAATAATTAAAACTAAGTGATCACGTTGGGGAAACTAAAAGCTGTGGATTATGAAAACATTTGTCAGTGACATGTCTCCCCTCATGCTGTGGGACAGGCTACTGAACCGAGTGGGCATCGCACACCTGACCCCGACGGCGGCGGACGTGGTGGACCCGCGCCGGCTGCCGCGCGTCTGGTCCGCGTTCATCTCGCACCTGGAGCAGAAGTACGGCAGCCAGGGGCTCTACCCGCGCCTGCGTAAGGTGCTCAAACAGCAGCAGATCCTGGCGGCGCGTCGCGAGGCTGAGCGTGAGCGGCAGCAGCGACTGGCCGGCCTGGCGTCCTCGCCCTGCAAGTCGCACCCCGGCGATGTATCGACCTGCTCTACGCTGTCTCAGGACTCGCAGGAGGATGTCAGGTATAAACGATTTCATATTAATGTTATTTCTCAATAGCCCTCTTAGTCTCAGGTTTCTTCCCGGTTTGGCTGGTAGCGCATAAGCAATGGCGATAAATGATGATACGATAAATACGACAAATGAATACGATAAAGTTGCTTGTCACAATGCTCTCAAGCCACCTCAGCTGCACACACGCCAGCAATATCAAATATATGATCTTGACGATGTGTTTCCGTTTTTTCAGGTTTGTGAAGCCGCGCCCTCCGGTATTCAAGCCTCGCGACGTCAGCGTTTTGTCAGCACCGTCAGCATCCCCGGGTAGGGGCGCCGTCAGGAGTCGGATTCCGGTGCCCACCAAACAGAACGTCATCCCCACCGGTAAACAGCTGGCGCGCACTCCCAGTGTGCCGCCCAGCAAGGGCCCGCCGGCCGCCGGCCAGCCGCAGCGCGTGCAAATGTTCGGCTCTCCGCGCCTGGTGGCGCCCAAGGCGGCGGCCGCGCTGACGGCGACTGCGGCGGCGGTCCCGGCCGCGGCGGACCGCTCGCCGCCCTCGCCCTGCGGCCGGTCCGACAGCGGCGCGTCGGAGAGCGCCAGCTCCACGGACGCCAGTCCCGGCCGGCGCCGCTCGCTGATCCCGGCGCCCAAGACTCCCGAGCAGGCGCTCGGCGAGTACATCGAGAGCGTACTCAACACCGACTTCCCTCACTCAGCAGCTGAGAAGGTGTCGGAGCCGGCAGCCGAGACAACGCTCAACGTGACATACAGCGCCGAGCGGCCGGTGGCGCCGGCCGGACGGGAGGCGGGCCCGGCGCCGTCGCCGGCAGCCGACGCACGTGACGCTATCCTGCAGGCCGCTGAGGACAAGGAGAACGTGCAGCCGGCGCCAGTTGAGGAGCTGGCTGCCAAGGCGGCGGACGCGCCAAAGGATGTGTCGCCCCGTGACGTCCGTAGAGACACGTACGAGGTGGCGCCGGCAGCGGAGACGGCCGAGAAGGGCGACGGAGACGCCCCTTCCAGTGCTCCTCCACAGCAGGACGCGGCTGAAGTCCCCCAAAAAGCCCGTGCTAAAAAGGGACCGAGTAAGAAGAACACTGCGCCGGCGGCAGTCGAGGCAGCGCCGGCGCCTGAGCCGGGTCCGATCACACAGCCGGTCCAGAATGAAGAGCCAGCAGCTCCAGCCCCGGATCAGTCAGAGCAGGAGCCAACGGTCGTAGAGGAGCAACCTGGCAAGAGACGACACGACAGGTCAAAGAAAGATGCTCCCGACTCCGAGCAAGTTGAAACCGCAGACCAAGAGCAGACGGCGCCGAAGGTATCCAAGAAGCGCAGTGCTCGCGCCAAGAAGGTCGAGGCCGCGTTACAGGATCCGTCTATAGCCGAGGTCGCTCCTGCGGTAGAGTCCGCTTCCGCTGTCGAGAATCCCGTGGAGTCGGTTTCAGAGCCCGTGCCCATTGAGCCCAAGACTGAGGCTCCTAAGAAGCGAGGCGGTCGCCCTAAGAAGGAGAGGAAGGTTCCGAGTGAGGTACCGCTGACAAATGTAACTGAGGATACTGTTGCGTCCGAGGAGGGCGGTAGCCCGCAGCTTAAAGACTCAACTGCGTGCGATGCAGAAGTGACGAACCCTGCAGAGTCGAAGCCCGTCGAGCCCAAGACCGAGGCACCTAAGAAGCGAGGCGGTCGTCCTAAGAAGGAAAAGCAGGCCGCGAGTGAGGCACCGTCTGAGCCTGAGGTGACTGCTGTGTCCGAGGATGGCCCAGCTCCGCAGCCCGCGGAGCCTGGTGTGTGTGACGCGAAACTGGAAAGCGTGGTAGAGTCGACACCCGTCGAGCCCAATACCGAGGCACCTAAGAAGCGAGGCGGTCGCTCTAAAAAGGATAAGCAGGCGGCGAATGAGGCACCGTTTGAGGAGTCTGTTTCGTCCAAGGAGGGCCCTGCTCCGCAGCCTGCGGAGCAGGCTGCGGAGCCTGCTGTGTGTGACGCGAACCTCGAGAGCGTGGTAGAGTCGACACCCATCGAGCCCGAAACTGAGGCACCGAAAAAGCTGGGCAGTCGGCCTAAGAAGGGGAGTCAGCCCGAGAGTGAGGTACGGTTTGAGTTGCCGACTGCGTCCGAGGACGGTTTTGGTCCGCAGTCTGCAGAGTCTGCTGTGCGTGACTCAGAACCGACGAACGCGGCAGAATCGACGTCCATCGAGTCCAAGACCGGCGCATCTAAGAAGCGAGACGGTCGGTCTAAGAAGGGTAAGCAGGCTGCGAGTGAGAAACAGTCCACGAATGTAACGGAAGTCCCTGTTGTGTCTGAGGAGGGCGCCTCTTCACATCCTACGGAGCCTCCTTGCCCTCCTGTGTGTATCGCGGAAGAATCAACATTCGCCGAGCCAAAGAAGCGGCGCGGACGCTCTAAAAAGGAGAGGCAGGCCTCGAGTGAGGCACCACCGATGCATGTGCCTGAGGAGCCTGCCACTTCACATCCTGCGGAGTCTCCTATTTTTGACGCAGAAGTCACGAGCGTGGTTGAGTCGAAACCCGCCGAGCCCAAGACTGAGGCAACGAAAAAGCGGGTTGGTCGGTCGAAAAAGGGGAAGCGGGCTACGAGTGAGGAGGTGTCGACAAATGTAACTGAGGTCACCGTAGCGTCGGACGAGGGCCCTGTTGCCCAGCCTACGGAGACCGCAGTGTGCGACGCGAAACTGACAGCCGCGCCAGAGTCGACGTCGACACCCACCGAGCCGCAGTCTGAGCAGGCGGCACCTGCCGCGGAGGAGCTGCCCAAGAGACGACGTACCAGAGCCGCAAATTCGTCATCCGAAAACCAGACGACCTCACAGGAGTCCGTTCTGGTAGAGCCGGCCAGCGCAGAAGAGGAGGCTCCGAAGAGGCGCCGTGGCCGGGCGAAGCAGGCCAAGCCGGAGGAGACGGCCGAGCCGGAGCCGGAACCGGCAGCGGGCCGGAGCAGGGGGCGGCGGACGCGGCACACGGAGCCGCAGCCGGAGCCGGAGGGGAGCGGGGCGGAGAGCGAAAACGTCCCCGCCGCAGCTGAGGAGACCCAGCGGCCCACCCGCCGCCGAGAGAGTCGCACCTCCGCCGCCGCCGCCGCTGACGCCCCCGCCGCCGCCCCGGCCGGACGGAGAAGTACCCGCGGCGCGCAGAAGGCGGCCGAGCCGGAGCGGGAGAGCTCGGCAGAGGTGGCGCCGCGCCGCCGCCGCCGACTATGTCTGATAGTGGAGAGCGACTCCGACGGCAGCACGCCGCCGGCGAGCGCCGAACCCTCGCCGGCGTGGCCACAGCCACAGCGCACCCGCCGCACGCGCAAGGCTGCGGAGCACTCGGACCGGCCGCGCCGCGCGCTCCGGGCGCTGGAGAACTGCGACTGACGGTGAGATACGGCGCAGCCTTTTTAAGCTATAGTAATGCTAGTTATGTTTGATTCGAGTGAGATTCAATCACGACCTTTGGGCCAAAATGATAAAATGAGTTATCGTTATTTTTAGCCGTTTATTTACCGTGTGCAGTTTTTTTTTCTCGCGATACCACTAAGAATGATAATAAGTATGATAGTTATGTGTATTATGATTAAACATCAAACACTGTTTCATTTGCAAGATACGAACTATAACTGAACCATCGTGTCTTGCATAAACTTAGCACCGCTGCAAGTTGCTACCAATTTTTTTTTTTGCATAAATGAATACTTTAGAAAAAATCGTACCATTTGCACCATCACTTCGCCCGGTAGCTATATCGTTAATACCAACCGTATTAATGCTAACTGTTTCGCCTGCAGACCTCTTTGGCGAGTGAACTGCTCAGTCGCCTCGACTCCCGGAGAATCCTCGCGTCACGGCGCTTCTGCCACGGATGACCCGTGCCGCCGATACTGTTCAGCTAGGACGAACCGTTCTGAAGTGACGGCCCGTGCCGTCCCAGTCCCGGCCGCTGTACGGACAGCTTGTTTTTCTAGGTAACTAGGTTTTGTTTCCAGTCTGCTTGAAGCTAACAGCGGTCTCGGGATGCGGTCGTGGAGCGCTGCAGTAGAGTAGCTCAACGCCGAGCAGCCGACGGATGTAATTTATCGGCGATGAACGTGTACAAAGGACTGAGGTGCTAGTAGGTCAGAAGCGCGGTGTATGTGTCACTGGTTGTCCTGCCCCAATATGTGCTTCTGTCACGGACTTGGGCTTGGATGTGCTGTATATTCTTCCTCGTCTTCATAGAATGCCGTTTCACATGATTTTATCTGATCCGCTGATTGTTTGCGATGCAAGCCCGCATTAAATGAATAACTCATTATTTCAATTTCTTGGTAGGTTCTCGCAGTGTAAGACTTCCTCTTGACCTTTCAAAGAGGGCTCCTGCCTACGTGCTGAGTGTGTGATCATTGATCAACCCACAACTCATACGGCCTGGAACCCTCGTTTCTTTCTGCGTTGCCAAATATACAAGTCCTGTTCGAATAATTGGTTTTGAGTGATATTGAGTCTTGGAGGAAAATGACATGCAGCTGTGTTCATTCGTTGCTATATGTATTGATCCTGTTGTCTCCAACCATGCAGGCAAGGACGGTTATAAAAGGCAATTTTTTCCGTTCTGGAGGAAGCGATGCTATGCGATTTTCTTAACCCACGCCCGTATATGGGGGGGGGGGGGGGTCCAACGGACCCTCCTCGGTTTTTCGCGAATAATTCGCGTAAAAAGCAGCCGATCGCGACGAAACTTTCAGTATGCTCCCATTAATCAATTTTACACCTACCCTGAGAATGTCATGACCCTGACCCAAATGACCTTTGACCTGTGCTCTACTTTTCGAGACCATGTTTGGCCAGAATCGCGATTCGGCGTATGTCGGCTCGTATTAGCCGCGTGTTTGCAGTCTTTTCGTGGTTTCAAACGTTCAAACATATGATATGATATTGGTCCCATGCATTAGGGTTGGTATCGAGTTCACCTGAAGGTCAGGTCAGGTCATTGACCTTTGGTGACCTCGGTTCACTTTTCCAACTTTTACATGTTTCTAGGCTATTTTTGGAGCTAAATTCGAATATCGCAACCATTTGAACAATTACGAAGTAGTTTTGGTGCCTTCGCAACATGCTACGTAGCTGTCAGAGGCGGTTGACAAATAGTTGAATAGCCGGCAGGGCCCCAACTGGTTGACCTGACGTGACCTGGCTTAAATGCATGAGGACATCATCTGTGATCAAAACTAACATGATATTCGTGATCAGCTCTCCGAAAAGCCGCATCAGCTACACTTAACGTCGTTCTAACTTCTAACAGGTTCCGATTTTCCCGACTTTTGGGTCAATGACCTGACCTGGAAGGTCGACCAATTACCCAGGACCTTAAAATTGGGTATCATCGGCCTCCTCTCGTCAGGATCAGGGGCGAAGCGGCAAGGACCCCCCCCCCCCCCCTCCCTCCTTATGAGTTCGCGGCTGGCAAAACATGAATACAAGCGAGGGCTTATGATGGAAAAACACTTCTGAATGGTATATCGACCTATCTTTGAATCTCTTTATTATTCAGAAAGAAAGATATCTTTGAATTTCTTTATCGCTGAATCACAGGAGGAGCGGCACGAGTGTGAAGCTTCGCTTTGGCCAGTGGCTTGCGACGGACAAACACGCAAACTTCGTGCGCACGCCAATCTTTGCGTTACTTTACGTTTGCGTAGGTACATACTGGTAACTACGATTCAACGCGTGTTGTAATGATACTTGGATGATGCAATGCAAGAGTGTGAGAATATAATGTAGGTACTAAAGATAACGCATCTACTGTTACGTCGGATCGTATCACTATAAGGTCCCAGAATAACTTGTGAGTCGTGAAGCGTTTTCGAGTAAGTTGTACAATAAGTATCGATGCCGAGCTGATTCCGTTGCCATGTAACGTAAATCATTTACACAAAAACGTCCCATCCATTTCACTTTCGAAACACTCCAAACCGCCAAACACAAATTTCATCGGAAATGTATTTGTCATTAAGTGCGAAATCGGTCTGGCTCAGCAGACCAAACCAGCATGCACTTGTCGAAATTTCCGCGCTAACAGCTGGCCTCTTACGGGCCGCACAGATCCACTGAAACTTAACTGTCTACTACTGCTAACAACGCGGTCAGGTCTGGTCAATGATGAGTGGTTGTGTAAAACGCACAAAACCGATGAAAATGCTACGATGTCGCTCGATCCTCTGCGCTATCTGGCGGCGTTTGTCGCCGCCGCTGGGCTGTGTCCGCCCCATTCTGACCGCACAAGGCCGGGGTCCGTCCCGGCAGGGGGGCCGAGATCAGGTCGCGTCTGTATGCCCGCTCAGTGCACGGCGCGGCCGCTAGTTTTTGCGCGTCTCGACGACCAGCGGCCGGCCGTGGAAAGCCATGCCGTCCATTTCCATTACGGCTTCGTCGGCCATCATCCGGCTGGACAGCGTGACGTACGCGTACGTGCTGAGGAGAAAGAGGGGACAGCGTCACATAGGTGAACATACTCAGGAGAACGAAAAGGAGTGCCACACAGGTGTTCGTGCTGAGGAGAAAGAGGCACAGCGTCACGTCACGTATGCGTACGTATCGAGGAGGCAGGGGCGGCACAAAACCGACGCAAAAACAACAGCAGGAACAACAACAAAAAAACGGGAGAGGGCGTCAGGGTAAAGGGTGGGTGGGCATCAGCATCAATAGTGATTTTATTGGGAAACATGGTGATCAGCTTGGGGAGGACAGGACATGGCGGTATGACTGGGGGACAAATAGGAAGAGAACAGCGAAATAAATGTTAAGTTCACAAATGAACGGAACAAATCACAAAAGCTGCCAGTATGTTAAGCACCCAGCATGCGCTCCCAACCCTTTCGCCCCGAGACCCCCACTCACAAGTCGTCTGGGTGCGGGCTCGAGTTGTTGACCATGATGCGCACATTCAGCGGCTCGAACCGGTCAAACAGCTGCATCAGGTCGTGCTCGTTGGTTCCTGCCGGGAAGTTGGCCGCCACCACGTCCATGGGCGCGTGCAGGCGGCTCTTGATGCGCTCTGAGATGGCCACTGCGGAGCGGAGCGCCATCGGCGGAGGGCCCACTGTCGGGAGAGAGAGAGGTGGGGGTTAGACGGGCGAGACGCGCGGCGGTTAGACGTGGGGAGTGGGCGTGGTCAGACGGATATTATTACGGTCTTACTGTGGCCAGACTGGGAGGACTTGGTCAGACGGGATATTGTGGTCTGACGGAAAATACAATTGACAATTGATACGCGCAAAGTCTTGAAAAGGAATGACTTCGGTGCACGCACTGGCAGAACACAATCAACGACAACATTGAGAAACACTTTATATCAGCTGCTAGCCACATGTACAGCGGAATATAAATCATGTACTGATGTACTCGTACAATCACACTCATAGCAATTGTATACATTGTGAGCTGCATTATCCTGAAAAGCAGAAAGACATAATTGTAATTTTACAGCCGCGGTAGCACACGGGCTATGGACGTAATAATATCAACATTCTTTCACGGAAGGCACGCTTCAGTACCAGTCATAGGCCGCTGCAGCAAAGGCCGTTAACTCGACCGATGTCACCCTGTATAGCGTACAACACTCGCCCCCGTTTCCCTTCCGCACCTCTGAGGCCGAACAGCCCTGCCCAGCCCGGCAGTTCCACCCGTCCCTCTAAGGAGCCTACACAGCCCGGCCCGGCGGTCCCACTCGCCCTGAGCCCACACAGCCCGGCAGTCCTACCCATCCCCCTGAGCCCACACAGCCCGGCCTGGCCCCCCAGCAGTCCCACCCATCCCTCTAAGGCAGCGGTCGGCAGGTCCTCCGGGGTCGTGCCCCCTTTTTTGGCGCCAGGCAGGGCCATTACCCCCACCTACCAGACCCCATTGGTGATGCAACCAAGGTTACTGAAATTTTATATTTTTCCGGGACTCTTTGGGTACCATATCTGCGAGAAACCGCAGGGGGCCCCGCCCCTCCCCCTGCGTTTTCTTGCAAATACCTCAAAAAACGTTGCCACGGAGCGCCACCATTTTGACACATTTTATCATACATCTTTTCTGCGCATGTTGTGAAAATTTCAGACCAAAGTAACTCAAGGTCAGGTCACCAGATCACGTCAAGTGACCTCACCTCAGTAGAGACTGTAACGCCTGCCGTAGCTACACAGAGTCACACCTCTTTCAAACTTTCAGGAATTGATAAGGCAATAGCATGTACAAAATTTGTATCTCGGAGATTTGATGTCGGTGACCAATGGTCAGGTGATCAGTGGGAGAGGGCGCAAAGCCAATGGTAGAGCAATGAAACCCTTTTGGACCCTTTTGGACGAGTGTCATTCCTAACACTGTGAAACACTAAATTACAAGTAAACATGGCCACTGAACCGGAAAAGTGCACCCGTAACACCGCTGTATGTCCCTGAGGTCAGAGCGATGAAAATGCCTTAGATGTGTTCAGCTCGACGATACGGATCGACTGATGTGCAACAAAACCTTCGATGCTTCTCGACGGGAGGATCACGATGCTGATAAAAGTGAGCTCTTGCAAGTTTTGAGTGAAAAGTTACTGAAGAAAAGCTATCAGTTAACAGTAAACACCGTACATTTTGGCAGTTTTTGTCTCCTGCAGGCTAAACCGTTAATCTGGGTTAATCTGTCCTGAAAATGGCATGAACCAGAATAACCGTTGATTTGTGATATCTTTATTGAGATCATGGCAGGCCACAAAATCTCACTTCTAGAAGCTACAGCAGGACCCGATTTACTCGATAATTGTCATTGACTTCTGGAAGGTCACCCAATGACCAAGGACCTTTAAATTGGGTAGCAGCGGCTGCCTATCTTCACGGGCAACACGCTCAATTTTTCTGCAAAGCTCCAGCTCAGAGGCCGAGATGCTCGGGTCAGGGTGCAATGGACGACTCCTCTCCCTTGTGTTAGTGACTGTGAAAACGCCAATGGGCGAGCGCCGGTTAATACATGACAGTTACTTTTGCACGACTGTACGGAATGGTGAGCAGCTAATGAAAATCGGCATGCGCCAGCTGATCAGTTCATGCTTTGTGCGTTTGCCCTCGACGAATTTTTGAATCCTAGGGCACAACAGTTGCGATGCCTGTCCCAGTGTCCCATCAAGGGAGCCATTATTTCTAAAAAGATGAGGCTTTCTCAGAGGCCCTCATTACCCCCAGCCGAAGGGCGTCATTACCCCCAAAGGGGGCATGCCCCACCATTTGCCGACCCCTGCTCTAAGGAGCCCACACAGCCCGGCCCGGCAGTCCTACTCGCCCTGAGCCCACACAGCTCGGCCCGGCCCGGCAGTCCTACCATCCCCCTGAGCCCACACAGCCCGGCAGTCCTACCCATCCCCCTGAGCCCACACAGCCCGGCCCGGCGGTCCCACTCGCCCTGGGCCCACACAGCGGCCCACTCACTGTCGCCTCCACGCTGCGGCTGCATGGAAATGCGCGGCGACGGGCCCACGGGACAGGCCAGCGGAGGCGGGGCGGACGGCGTGCGCATCGGCCCGGCCGGCTCCGGCTCGCCGTACCGGGCCCGCTTCACGAACGGCTCCGAGTAGTCCACCTCCGCATCGGCCCTGCCGCAGAGGTCACCAGTCACCGCGGGTCAGCAAAGGTCACCAATCATCGCTGGGTCGGGGCACCGGTCACCGCTGGTCAGCAAAGGTCACCAGTCACCGTGGGGTCAGGTCACCGGTCACCGCCGGGTCAGTGAAGGTTACCAGCGGGTCAGTCATGTAAAAGGCAATGTGGGCGACATTTTATCGATAAGTGCAAAATAAACACAAAATATATTAACAACGATAGCCCTAGCGCTTATTCGCCCATGAAATACTAAATTTAACACCGGGCCTGCGATCCACTAGCGGACAGAGCACGAGTCAGTTGCCAACGTCTGTTCCACTGCCACCCACTCACCGTTGGTTATAGCTGCGTCGCGACCCGAGGCCAGCCAGCGGGGGCGGACCAGGCTGCGCCGACCTAGTCGGCGCCGGTCGCGGCGGACCGCCGTACGGCCCTGCCCTCGGCCTCGGCGGCTCAAACTCGGACTCAAAGTGGTCCACCGGCGGTTCACGGTCGTAGCGAGCCGGATCGCGGTCGTACCGAGCCGGGTCACGGTCGTACCGAGCCGGTGAACGATCGTAGCCGGCCGGCTCTCGGTCGAAGCGGATGTCTGGGCGCGGCGGTCGGCCGGCCGTTCCGTTGTACTGTGCCGGCGGGGCCGCTCCGTTGGCGCCCACTGGCGGCCGGTACGCTGCCGGGCGCGGTGGCATGGCCGGCTGTTCCGGCGGCGGCAGCACTAGCGGAGGCATCTGCGCGGCGTCGGGCGGCGCGCGCTCCCCGGACCGGTGCACGGAGCCGCCCAGACGCTGGCGCACGCTACCCTGAGGCCGGCCAGCGGACTGGGGCCGGCCGGCGGGCGCCGCCGCCTGCTGCTGCGGCCGGGGCTGGCGCGACTGCCGCTGCTGCTGCGGCTGCGACTGCTGACGTTGGTTCTGCGGCTGGTGCTGTTGGTTCTGAGGCTGCCGCTGCTGACTCTGAGACCGCTCCTGTTGCTGCCGCCGCTGTTGCTGCTTCCGCGGCTCCTGGGCATTCTGGTTCGACTGGGTCTGATGTTTGTTTGCGGCTGAAACGTGCATGAAAATAACCGCTGCTAGATAAAAAACGCGATCCTTAAATTATGTTGACACATCTATTTCTGAGCCAATTACAGCCTATGATAGACACCAAAGACATGTCACGTTTGCGAAAAACGATTTATTAATGCTGTTTAAATCCTATTCAATATTGGTTCAAATATGAAGTACATTAGTCGATACAAATGTAAGAGATTGACTAGCATCGCATCAGTAGTCTGAACTGACACCAAGGCACAAATTTCAGCCAACGTAACTATATCTCTTGCCTGCAGTTTACGCAAAGGACCCAGTCCTGACAGACTTATCCCGCCGAGCTACTCGCCGTCCCTCGCTCCCTCTCTCACAACTGCTGTGACGCGAGTCCTTGACGACGATCTGGCGGCCGGCCACCTTGCCCCTGTTGAGCTGCTCGATGGCCCGCGTCACATCCTCGGCCGAGGGCACCACTACGAAGGCGAAACTGTGAACAGGCGACGGCAGGCCAGAAATGGAGAAACGTCAGTGGCGATTTAGTTCGCAGGAAGGTGGCATAAGCACACATCAACGCCTCTTTTCAAGCCTTTGTGAAACCAAAACGTTTGACTTTTAGAAAAGTGAGATAACTACATTACGATCAGCAAAACACAGATGAACCATATCCCCGTTTCCACGGAAGCAAGGTAACATATCATGGTAGCATGCTTCTTCCAGCGGGGAAGGGTTATAAGCCGGGAAGGAAGGTGAAAAGTGTGGCCCGGAACGGTCCATCCACCGACTCCGAGGACTTACCCGCGCTCCTCCTTCTTGTACAGGCGCACTGACAGCGCCTTGATGTTGAACTTGGCGAACAGCCCGTACAGATCGTCCTCTTCCAGCGAGAGCGGCCAGTTGCCCACATACACCTCGTACTTGCCCGAGGCGCCGGCGGCGGGCGGCCGCGCCGGCGAGCGCTCCGGCACCGCCGGCTGGTCGCCGCGCACCATCGGCGACACGCCGCTGCCGGCCGCCGGCCGCGTGGTCCCGCCCGTCTGCAGGCGCTCGCTCTTAGGCCGCGCGTCCGCCACGTACTTAACGTAGTTGACATTGCACAGGTGCGGTGACGCGCGCATGCCCGTGATGGCGCGCACCGCCTCCTCGGGGTTGCAGAAGCGCACGAACGTCCAGCGGCGGTTGTCAATGCCGTCCTTGGCACCGCGCACCGACTGCACGTTGCCGTACTGCGAGAACGTGCTCATGATCTGCGACTCGTTCAGCGCAAACACGTTTTTGAAGCCCACGCAGTAGAAACCGTCCTCGCCAGCTTGAAGCTCGTCCTCCATCACTGCTGCCTAGCGCTGGGCCGACCGGAATAGAGAGAAAACAACGAAGAGCCGTCAAAAAGACGGCCTCGGTCGGCACCAGCAAAGCCAGCAACGGGCAACAGTGGGTGATCTCATGCGAGCAAGCAAACAGAAACCACTGCCAATGGCCAGTGGCCCAGTCAACAAGCTGGGTGAACAAAGCAACTAGTAAACAAGGCGAGCTCAGAGCAAGTTCAGAGTAAGGTCAATAAAATCTGGACGGTAAGGGGTCATCAGTAAGATGGGTTTAGACAAATGGGAGGGAAATGCAACAGCATCGCTGACTAATGATCATAGGTAACGGGACCACAATGCGCCCCTCAGAACGTGTCAGAGTGGGCTCAGTAATTTGTCGCAAAGCGCTGTGAAAAGAAAGAGATGAGACGATAAGCAAGAAACTCGCAAGCAAACGGAGCGTCTTTCTTGGAGCAGTTGCCAAAGAGAGACATCGTCATAATTCAAGCAACGCAATACTCGCCGAGGCAATGATAAACTATCTCTACCAATGGGTAGATATGAAAAACTAGAATGGCGTTACGTGAGAGACGAATGCGCTGTAAAACACAATTCACTGAACAAGAGAAAAACACATCAGCAGCCTCAAACAAAATAAAACAAACCGGACGAACACAGTAACAACAGGCCACTGAAAAGAGATGGGTATTGGGGTAAAGGGGGCAGCTTTAGAAATGCTGACGATTATAACGAACGAGCAGTTCAGGGATCACAAATAACCTTTATCAGTCAAGGTTTTCCATTGCAAGATCGCTATCGCAATTGAGATGCCAACAACATTGAGACAATCAAACAACACAACGTCATCGAGTAAGGGATATGACACGAGAAAACTCAGAGTGACAAGATAGGTGACATTGGCTATCTCGTGGGGATTGATTTTTTCGCTCAGTACCCGTTTATTATTGACTTGTCTACAAAGCAGCTGATCGCTAAGCCATCTGCAAACGAGGTGAACCATTAGCCAACAATGCACACGGCAACGTGAAGGTAGGCAATTGAACCAATTCGTTCGCAAGTGCCCACAAAAGAAGATGCAAGGTCCTGAAAAGACCGACAAAACACATTATCTGCAAGTTTATTTTGGTGCGCTTCGAACGAACTTCGCCACATTTCAAGTAGCCTGACAAATGATAATCGAAGACACATTGTAGTTACGGATCCAAATCCCACAGCGCAAGCGTAAGATCATATATCTCTGAAAATCCAGATGAGGACCCAGATTAATCAGATGAGGAGGTCAGAGCAACGCAGACCATTCAGTAAGCTTTTTTATTTGGAGGCGGCAATGTGAGGCACACGTGTCGCAATGGTCGAAAGAGAGGCTTTTTATCAGGCGGAAACCTTATCTCCGGACATCCAAGCCAGAATATTATTATAAAATCCCGGATATATTGGTAGATCATATCAAATATATGGGACAAAGTTGTACTGACCGCTCCCAATTTTACTGTTTTGCAGACGAAGACACCCTCAAGGATGAGTCGATGAATCATCGACGCTCCGCTGCCCGCCGGTCACCATGAACCGAGGAAAAGTGACAGCGGAAGATATCGATCTGGCAGAGTACCGCTCGGTCGCGGATGGTCTGCTACTGTAAGCCGTCGCTCATCTGGTTGACTTGCCGGTGGTCTTGCTTCTGCCGACGGCTTCCGAGGGCGGAGCCACCAATCGTTGACAGGTGGCTCGGCCTCAGCCCGCGCTGGTGGAATTGGCGGTGGAGTTTTGGATGTCGTCCTGTTCTAGGTGATCGGTGTCCGGCGTATATCCTGAGCGGGTTCGTGTCGCTGGTGGGAGCTCCGCAACTCGGGCCTCGCGTTGAGGGCGGCAGCCCTCGGGCTTCCCCGCAAGCTTTTCATGTTTTATTGTTTTTATTAAGACCAAGGCTGCCTGCAGTTGCTGCAGGCTTGGTCTTACTTTTGTCGCAATAATAAATACCGTATAATTACAGCGTGCGTTTTCTGGGCCAAATTCTGGGCTGCACGGTGCAGGGCGTATGTGTACTTCGTGAGAGGTTCCATCGAGCTTACGAGAAACCGAAGCTTGGGTTTTCGTGAGAAGGGCTTTTGATAACCTTCCCACCGTACACCGGATACCAGACTCTCGTGAGAAACGCATAGAAAATGGTTTGCAGTGAGAAGCAATTTCCGTCTCGTGCGAGTTCGCGTACTGGCTTTGCTCGAGAATGGTGATGCCAGTTTTGGGACTCGCTACGGAAACATTCTCAGCTGAGAATGCTATTCTCTGAGAAAACCGAGAGAGGGACTTAAAACGTGTGGTCTGATTTGAATAGGGAGAATGAGAATGCCTACCGGTTTCAAAGAAGGGCTAACTTTTTTCTCAGCGCAGCGTCGTCGTCTGGATGTGCGGAAGCGACGTATACAGTGGACGAACACTGCTCCCAAGCTACTCAGACGGCTCCTTGAAGGAGGACGCCAGGCACGCCATCCTCATCACCAAGCGACTTCTGGCGGAGACCGGTCAAGTTCTGGTCCCGGGACCACTCCCTCGCCTCAGCGGGGACATGATCAGCCTCAACTGGGAGCGGAGCACCTCCCTCCAGCTTTGATGATTATAGGCTCCTCTCAATCCGTCTGGAGGCTCATCTTTCCCACGCAGAGAGGCGCAAGTTTGCTGACGCACCACGGCTCGTCGCTAGCCACGAGATGGAGCAGGACATCAACAGCCGTCAGCTGCGGAACATCGGTCAGCCCTGCTTCAACCTGAAGGCCATCCACCAGCCCGCCAAAGCCAGGAAGAAGTCAGCGCAAGACGCCGGTGGTCTAGAGCCGGTAGTCCAACTGACCGAAAGGACCAAGGTGATGCTGAAATCGAATATGTTTGTAAGCGCGCCGGTCTAACGAACGGCACTCTGTGGACCGTGGCCGGGCTGTTGTGCCCTCCAGACGCACCTGGCTAGACACACTGCCAGTATGAATATTGAATAATCATATAGGTAGGTTCGCCGCGAAAAAAGGCGAAATTCGCCCCTAAAGGCTTCAATGTCTGAATGAAAAATGGCACTATGGTAAAGAGGTAGTTGAAAAATGGTAGAGAGCTGGCCTCTACAAGTTGTTGATTGAGATAGATTAGCGTATTGACTTTCGATTGATATACCTCATTAAGCATATGGTTTTACGGAAAATGGCTAAATTTGTCGAAAACTATCTCGTTTTTGTTATAAACCGTATATTGGAAATGGCGACGTGCGCCACTTCCGTCGCCGACGCCAGGTTGCCCGAGATTTGAGCGCTTGTACGCCTTGGCTTCTATGTTAATTTCAAGATGAATATTGAAGGCAGAAGACGGCGTTGTGCATATGAGGGGCACGCACTGATTTCAAGTGAGTCGGAAGTGCCAAAATTGAACAAGATTGGTTCCAAGTACGTTTCGAAGTCCGTCATTCAGGCCCTGGGAATGGGTGACCCTGGCAAGCTTGCTGGACGATACCTATGTCATAAGTGTATTTCCTATGGCAGGTCGCAGATGAAAATTGTTCAGGTGAGATTACTTGACTGATGTGTTGGCTCATGGCTGGGCTCTCCATTGATGTTTGCAGTGTGAATCGTCATGTCCTTCGACGAGATCACCATCGATCCCCGCGTGGCGTACGACTCCACGGACGACGCGGTCTACGGCCCCAACGACAAGATGCAGGTGGTGATGGTCCACTCCTTGTGCAGTCGTTGGAAGCAGCCCGTCTTCTTCGACTACAACAAGGACGTCACCAAGGACCTTCTCCACCGCATCATCGCCGCCGTGGAGTCTGCCGGCTACGTGGTCGTCGCCATGGTGTGCGACCTGGGACCGGCCAACCGGAAGCTGCTGTGGTCGCCGAAGGCCGCTGACGGACTGGGCATCGACCCGGAGGACGGGTTCTTTGCCCATCCGTGCGACCCCAGCCGGTAAGTCAACTTTTCTAACTTTCTTATTCATCAGTTTTTAACTTCGGACACTAATTTCTAGGGAGACCATAAATAAGCTTATATTTCGATGTTGTGTAGCAAGCTTATGTAGCCACAGCAACTCTTCATTCATGTTGCATTGAAACCAAATATGTCATGTATGTCATGCCGCTGGCAACGATTGTCTTGATGGCCTTGGTACCGGCATTCAGCCTTTCGAAAACCACTAAAATTGTAGCTTAATTTCCGTGTAAATGCTAGCTGACGGCAACTTCGTTCCGTTTCACTCTGCAGAAAAATCTTCACCTTCGCGGACGTGCCACACCTCCTAAAGCTTCTCCGCAATCACATTCTCCGGCAAGGCCTCCAGCTGCCAGGCGGCCCTGTCATCGACAAGAAGGTCTTTTGCAACCTTCTGGAGAAAGATAACTCTGAGTTTCGGCTATGCCACTTTCTGAAGTGGAAGCACATCACGGTGAGCAAGTTATCAATGTTAATTACCATAACCAGCAGCATTATGAATTATATGTGCCATCAACTTGGATGATTAATTCCGTGACGCTGAAAAGCAATGTCTTTTTACATTTGATGCAAAGCTGTGATAGTGTAGCACATTATAGTGTGTGTTAACTGTAGTCAAATATTTATCTCGTCATTGGAAACAAGTTAAAAATTTACGAAATTTGACCCTTCAGTGAGCCTGAATGTTGACCAACAAAAAGTCAACCAACGTCATTATTTATTACTCCTTTGGTTCCCCGTGTGTCGCAGGTGCGGGGTCAGGAATGCCAGCGCGTGTACCTGGCCGCCCAGCTCCTCAGTGAGCGCGTGGCCAAGGCGGTCTCGCACATCTTCGGAGACCGGTACCGGAAGGAGGCGGAGTTCATCGCCCTCGTCGACCAAGCCTTCGACACGTTCAACTCCCGCCACGTGTCGGACGGCAAACTACACCGGTCGGCGTTTGGGCTGGCCCATACCATCGAGGACCAGTACTCCTGCCTCCTCAATGAGGTTGATGATGAGATGAGGTTGAGATGAGATGAGGTCTCAACCTCCTCAATGAGGTTGAGATGAGGTTGAGCAGCTGGAGGTGCTGTTCACCACGATGCACGGAGGAGATGTCGACCGCGGCCCCGGCGTCGTTAGGCGACTTGCCGAGGCTGCTGCGCTGAAGTTCCCGCAGCTGCATCCATACGTACTGAGGAAGTACGCTATGACTAGGACGCAGCTGCGGGTACGTGAGATCCGGCGCCTCATCGGCGACAGAGAACGTCTCCGAAAGGAGCAGCCTACCTGCAGCCGGGAGGCCAAGCGTGCGCGCCTGTACGTGCATCCTGGTGATTAGACTTCAGCGTGGCCTCGCTTTGTGTGCTGCGCCGCTGCGCTGGCTGTGGCGGGAGCCGGCGGCGGCGTGCCGCAAGACTTTAGCGTGGTCTCGCTTTGTGTGCTGCGCCGCTGTGCTGGCTGTGGCGGGAGCCGGCGGCGGCGTGCCGCAAGACTTTAGCGTGGCCTCGCTTTGTGTGCTGCGCCGCTGCGCTGGCTGTGGCGGGAGCCGGCGGCGGCGTGCCGCAAGACTTTAGCGTGGCCTCGCTTTGTGTGCTGCGCCGCTGCGCTGGCTGTGTACAAAGCATCGATCTTCACGTCGGCGCCATACAGCGGGCTTCAGACATGCAGCTCTCTCAGCTGCGAGACACCGCAAAGGCAGATCATCAGTATGCAGCCCTGGTTGACATGGTCTTGGAAGGATTTCCAAGCAACAAGTCCGACATTCCTAGTCATCTACTGCCGTTTTGGAAAGTGAGACACGATCTCTGCGTGGATGATGGCATTGTTTTGAAAGGAGCGCAGCTCGTAATTCCACAGCAGGAGCGGTGCAACGTGTTGGCTCGTCTTCATGATGCACATCAAGGCATCGAACGAACGAAGAGAAGGGCGAGGCAAGTGGTCTGGTGGCCAGGAATATCAACGGACATCAAAAACACCGTCCAAGGATGCCAGCTATGTCAAGAACGACTACCAAGTCAGAAGCGTGAGCCGCTGATGACGGATCCCCCACCTACTCGAGTGTTTGAAGAAGTTGCTGCAGACATCTTCAGTCACGCTGGGCGATCTTTTTTGGTATATGTCGACAGACTTTCCGGGTGGCCTGTTGTGCATGTGTTCCCAGCGGGTGACACAACCTCAAGGCAGGTCATTCGAGCGTTGCGTCAGAACTTCGTGATGCTCGGTGTTCCTGTAACGCTGCGCTCAGATGGCGGCCCTCAATTCAGCAGCCGAGTCTTCGGAGACTTCGTGCGGAGGTGGGGAGTTAAGCATGTGATGTCATCTCCCCACTTCCCACAGTCCAACGGTTTGGCAGAGTCAGCCGTCAAATCCCTGAAACAGCTCGTTGCAAAAACCACCGTCGACGGTAACTTAGACGATGAGAGGTTTGACCGGGGTCTTTTGGAGTTGCGCAACAGCCCACGTGAGGGCGGCCAGTCTCCAGCCCAAGTGGTACTGGGTCATCCACTCCGAAGCTGTGTTCCAGCTCATCACCGAAGTTTTGCTCCAGAATGGCAGGCTTCAGCAGCGAAGTGTGATCAGGCGAATGCAGAGAGGCGCCGTAGGACAGAAGAAACCTACAACCGTTCTGCGTCTCCTCTTCTTCCGTTGAAGATCGCCGATGAAGTCCGCCTGCAGAACCCTCTCTCCAGGATGTGGGACCGCACAGGCGTGGTCGTGGGAATCGGTCGTCACAGAGATTACCACATCAAGCTGCCGAGTGGGCGAGTCTGCTGGAGAAACCGACGCTTCATCAGGCCTCTCCATCCATCTCTTCCCGGCGGTCCATCTAACTCGTCCTCCGTCTGTGTTGCGGACGAGGCAATGCCTCCACCACGTCGCAGTGCGCGTGCGCGCCACCCACCGAACAGGTATCGGCCTGCTCCGTGATCTGTGTTATGCCGTACGGTCAATGCCATGTTATGCTGGGGAGATGTTATGCCGTACGTTCAAGAGGACTCTGTGACCTGTTCGCTGTGATGCGTATAGTCCCGTATTCGTTTACGTGTTTCCGTTTATGTTGGATCGCTGTGCTTTGTCTGGGCAGAACGATTTGTTTTTGTTTGTCTCACTACTTGTTAGCTCTCCCAGTGCGCCAAGACCGCTGCATTATTCAGTTGCATCGGTCTTGTGGGGGGGGGGGAGATGTTATGCGCATAAGCATTGGCGGAGGGAGATTCCTTCGCGTTGGTGTATGTGTGCTGCCATACGCGTCTGTGCCAGCTGAGCTGGCACTCACTTGATCTGTGTTGGTCGCGAGAGGAATACACCTGTGTGCGCAAGACGGACGACTCTTCGGATCCCTGAACCGTGAGGACCACTGCACAGATCACAACAACTGTAAGCCGTCGCTCATCTGGTTGACTTGCCGGTGGTCTTGCTTCTGCCGACGGCTTCCGGGAGCGGAGCCACCAATCGTTGAAAGGTGGCTCGGCCTCAGCCCGCGCTGGTGGAATTGGCGGTGGAGTTTTGGATGTCGTCCTGTTCTAGGTGGTCGGTGTCCGGCGTACCTATATCCTGAGCGGGTTCGTGCCGCTGGTGGGAGCTCCGCAACTCGGGCCTCGCGTTCAGTGCGGCAGCCCTCGGGCTTCCTCGCAAGCTTTTCCTGTTGTATTGTTTTTATTAAGACCAAGGCTGCCTGCAGTTGCTGCAGGCTTGGTCTTACTTTTGTCACGATAGTAAATGCCGTAGAATTACAGCGTGCGTTTTCTGGGCCAAATTCTGGGCTGCAAGGTGCAGGGCGTATGTGTAGTTCGTGAGAGGTTCCACCGAGCTTACGAGAAACCGAAGCTTGGGTTTTCGTGAGACGTGAGAAGGGCTTTTGATAACCTTCCCACCGTACACCGGATACCAGACTCTCGTGAGAAACGCATAGAAAATTGTTTGCAGTGAGAAGCAATTTCCGTCTCGTGCGAGTTCGCGTACTGGCTTTGCTCGAGAATGGTGATGCCAGTTTTGGGACTCGCTACGGAAACATTCTCAGCTGAGAATGCCATTCTCTGAGAAAACCGAGAGAGGGACTTAAAACGTGTGGTCTGATTTGAATAGGGAGAATGAGAATGCCTACCGGTTTCAAAGAAGGGCAGCCGTTCTAACTTTTTTTTCTCAGCCCAGCGTCGTCGTCTGGATGTGCGGAAGCAACGTCTACAGTGGACGAACGCTACTCCCAAGCTACTCAGACGACTCCTTGGAGGAGGCCGCCAGGCACGCCATCCTCATCACCAAGCGACTTCTGGCGGAGACCGGTCAAGTACTGGTCCCGGGACCACGCCCTCGCGTCAGCGGGGACATGATCGGCCTCAACTGGGAGCGGAGCGCCTCCCTCCAGCTTTGATGATTATAGGCTCCTCTCAATCCGTCTGCAGGCTAATCTTTCCCACGAAGAGAGGCGCAAGTTTGTTGACGCACCACGGCTCGTCGCTAGCCACGAGGTGGAGCAGGACATCAACAGCCGTCAGCTGCGGAACATCGGTCGGCCCTGCTTCAACCTGAAGGCCATCCACCAGCCCGCCACGGCCAGGAAAAAGTCAGCGCAAGACGCCGGTGGTCTAGAGCCGGTAGTCCAACTGACCGAAGGGGCCAAGGTGATGCTGAAATCGAATATGTTTGTAAGCGCGCCTGTCTAACGAACGGCACTCTGTGGACCGTGGCCGGGCTGTTGTGCCCTCCAGACGCACCTGGCCCAGACACACTGCCAGTATGAATATTGAATAATCATATAGGTAGGTCCGCCGTAAAGGTACGGGTGCGCCGATAATGGTGCCACAACACCAGACCACTCCGTCCGCAGATTCGTAAACTAACCCGTTTCATAAACCGTGTTGTTTCCTTACACACCGTGAAGCCATGGAATTTCAGAGCATCACCATTATCAGTTCAGGACGTATCCATTCAAGGACCAGCTCACGGTCAGAGCAAAACAGCAAAACGGTCAGGGTCAACTAATTATAGTGTCCCACGGGTCTCTCCGCTGATAATAACTGTCTGCCCTCAGAGTGACAGAAAGTGTTCGAGCCCGAGGCCACCCTCGTGCTAGACAATCGAGGAGCGACGAGGATTGTGGGCGAAGTAATTCAATGAACAAGTATCAAGTATGTACATCAAAGTAAGAAAGGGTTAACCGCTTTATCAATTAAAGCTGTATAATCTACGACTGCGTCTGTCCTGCAATTGGGTGTCATATCTGTTTGCGTTTCTTTTCAAATACAATACAATACAATCATTGGTCAGGCAAGCGTGAGCAAGCGTTGATCAGGCAAGCTGTTCTTAATGTGTATGCCTGTCGATTCTCAGTGTAACATCTCTTCTTCGTATCTTAATGCAACTATATGTTTCCCTAAATGCGCCCGATGTCCGTCATATAATCTGGCTGTACTCGATCCAGTTCATGTTGATTTAGTAGGGCGCTCGGACAAAATACAAGTCGGAGCGTAGGAGTGTAGCAGAAAGGATAAGACGTGGGTGTATACATATGCGTGTAGCCAAGTAGTACGAAACGTGCTACGCCGGTGCCATGATGCGAAGCGAACGGGCCGGCGGGACCAGTCGCTGCCGCCGCGGATGTACGTGGAAACAAGGGTGGCCTTGTTTGGGAACAGCCACGCTGCCGCCCGAGCGTTCCCCCTGGGCCGCGACCTGGAGCTCGGGGCTACGCTCGGGCGGCACACCGTCGTCATGCAGTATGTGCGGGGATACACCGCCGACGGCATGGGCGGCGACTCCGCCGGCGACTGGCGTATGATGATGGCCGCCGCCGTCCGGCTGAAGACTTTTCGTCAGCTGATAGTTCAGCTGACTGGAGCAACTCCAGTAGCTCCGTACTAATTGATCAGCTAACTAGGGTTCTTTGAAGCGATAAAGGATATAGACAAGTCATTTATAATTTGTAGTGATTATTGTGCCGGAGGCCACAATTGCAAGCATAACGAGTATATAAGGTGACGAGCAAAATGATATTCCTTTACCTACGCCATACAGATGCTTGAGAGGCCTGTGTTTCTCAGCGTTTCTCTTCTTGATCGGGAGTGATGACTATCATTGGCATCCCTCGTTCGCCCAAGAAAGGTACAAAGAACGCAAGGCCGTCTTATGTAACTTTCCTCTTCTCGTTCATCTTATGTAACCTCGTTGGGCCCAAGTGGCCTGTTGTTACATGAAATACATGTTATGTTATGTTATGTATTAATTCATTTATAGAGATCCTACCCAAATCGGTCTAGCATTGACCAAAGCGACACTTTCCGTACTCAAATATCCACGCCTTAGAGAGCAGCACGGTGGCCTCAAGGGAGGCGTTGGAAGTGGGTATAAAGCGGAGCGAGGAGAGAACTCGGCGCGCTTTTACTCGCTCTTGGCCTGCTGACGTGCTGCTGGGGGTACCGGACCACCACCACCTTCATCGCCAGCATGTGAGTGTTATACATCAGCACACTCCCTCATCTCCACTTTCGCTTCAGGCCAACACTTAACACTTCTCCGCCCACACCGCTTCGCTCGTCATCTTGAAGTGTCTACGCTATAAAAAAGTGTCTACTGGCGGCCTGAGTCCGCGTAGTTGGTCCTTACCATTTTCTCTTGTAGTTTTGTGTCTACTGTCTGCGCTCATTCAGTCACTTCCTCTTCGATATCTCCTGAAGTGTTTGCCGGCGGCGGGAGCCGCGCCGTTTGCTCTTGGTATTTCTCTCGTAGCTTAGCATAATACATTAGGTGACGGGAAACGATTATTCTAGAAGAGGTAGGAGTAACGGAGAAAGGGATAAAGCGTCAGGGGTAGGGGCAGAGATCACAAAGACACATAATCGAACTCATCGCGCATCGAGACACCGCCCAAAATACACAACGTTCTGTGACGTCAACCACTTTCTGCAAAGCTTCCTGGCATTCGACCCGGTCTGGGGCGAATATAAAAACTGAAATCATACCAGCTAGTCTGCGTGGTTTCCCGGCTACCAGGGTCCAGCGTGGAACCCAGAGAATCCTAAGTTAGTGCCGGTGCCTGTCATTACCAGCAAGTGGATGGAGGGAGAGCGACTCCACAGCCGAACGCAGATTCCTCTGTCGCTGGCACTTGCAGTCACCACCCACAAGTGCCAAGGCTGGCCAAGACCAGCCGTCTTGGTCGACATCGGGCCCAAAGAATTTGGACTTAGTCCCACCTTCGTAGCGCTGAGCCGCGCCACTTCTCTGCGCGGGCTCATTTTGAACCCAACGGATCCAGCCGCTGCTCTCAGTGGAGCCGCCTAGTTCGCATTAACAACAACGGGCAAAAGATGCACAGGAAGTCGACGGCTCCTCCAGCGTCTTCAGGGATCAACTTGAGTCTTCTCCATCCTACCGCAGCGCATCATTATCCTGCATATACGAGTATGTAGGTATTGGTAATCCTGCGGCTCTGGCTGCGACCGTCCCGAATAAACCGACCGCTCTACCACGTGACCCTGCCGGGCACGAGCGACCAATCGGCGGGCCGAGCTCACCTGAGGAGAGCCGTTCGGCGGCTTCACAGGTGTCGATCAAAGCCATATGTGCAGAAGTTGTTCAAGCGCCGTGCGCGATGGTGTAGGGATTGTAGGAATTTAGGCGTATTAATGTGGCCGTGAAATATTATGCAGGGATTAGAAATTTAGGCGTATGAATGTGAACGTGTGTTATCCTTTGTTCGTCCGTTGCGCCCGCGTCCGCGTTGGGAGTTACATCAGTGGAGGTCAGCGAGATGGTAACCAAGCGCTCCGGTTGGTCGGCCTTAGCCTCGGGCCGGCTGACGGGGGGCGTTCCCGCCTCGAGCCCGGTACATAAGCACAGCAGGAGGAGGAGTCGGGGCTCAGTGTCTGCCTGCCTAAGTGCTGTGCTGCGCTGTGCCCGACTACTCTTCTGCTGCTGGCTCTCCTGGCTCGAGGTAGGTTACCGTCACGCAGGGATTGTCGCGGGCTCACGGACATCCCTTAGCTAGGATAGGAGCACCTGGGTGGAGGATTAGGTAGTGTTGGCGCCGCCCAGCAAGAGGGTTCGCCGCAGTGTGTATACGCGAGAAAATTGTCACGCGATTTTATAATTTCGAATTCAGTATTTTGTTTCCGTCTCAGCTGGAGTTTATTGCAAGTTTATTGCGCTAAATTGAATATGGAGTATAGTTAGGTGATATTTTGTGTTAAGTGTTAACATATTTTGAACCCCGCAGACTCATGTAAGTACGCATTTTGTTGTGGTAATAGACACGACTTTCGTTAGTAGTGAGAGTGACGATCTTGGTTATATCTGTAACGTTAGATCTTGTATGAGATGATTTAGGTAAATGCATAGTGTTGTTGTCCTTAAACCTATGTCTCCAAGTTGTATGACGTGATGTCATGTATTCCAGAAACGGCAACATGGAACTCAAGAGAGATATGTTTGTTTCTATTATTTGAGTAAGAAGATGCTCGAATAGTGCAATTAGACCGTATTGAGTGCGGTGGTAAAGGCCATAATTGATTTGCTGATTTAGCGTAATCAAAAGTTTATGAGTCTTCGATTAACTTTTATGAAAAGACATTTTAAACTGAGTTATTTTAAAACACGTTACCGTGAAGATTTATTCTGCGTTTTGAAGCCAGAATCTTCAGCCAGCCACTGTAAGTCTATCGCAGCTTTACTATTCTCAAACCTTAAGTATTGAATATGGACAAACTCACCGTGTATCAACTGAAATGTGAGCTAAAGGCCCGCGGGAGAGGGACCACAGGGAATAAGGCTGATCTGGTTGCTTCGCTGCGTGATGCATTAGACGAAGAAGGAATTGATTTTGAGAGTTGGGCTGAATTTGTCCCAAGTAAGGCCGCTGGGATATTTAACGCAAATGAAAACATGCCCCCAGCTAGTGCCGCCTTACCGAGTGGGCAACGAAGGAATACCGTCGAAATTACTGGAAGTGGCGAAGCTCCTCAAATAAGCGATACTATTTCTATCCAAACATCTGCATCGGCCGCTGAAATGACAAGGTTAAAATTGATAGAAGAAGACGCGCTTCGTGCGGGCTTAGAAGCACAGCTGAAAATTGTGCTAGAAAAACAGGAGTTAGATAGAAAGATGTCTGAATTGGCAAGACAGAAGGAAATTCTTGAATATACAGAGGCTATAGAAATTTCTAGAGCCAAGGTGAGGGCGCTAGGTAGACATGAAGACCATGAAATAGTTGAATCGAATCGCGACAAAGAGACCCCGAGATCGATATCGAATGCTACGAACGACACGAACACGACAAACCGAAGGAGCCACGACGGCCATCTAAATACTGAGAGCAGCAATATTGCAGGACTGTTGAGACGAGAAAGGGAAATAACTGCTGGGTTGATGCGCTTGCCGCCTGTTGAATTGCCCAAATTTGGAGGTGATGTTACTGAATTTCCTCATTTCATGAAGGCATTTAACCTAAAAATTGCCTCAAAGCTGTCCACCGACGAAGAAAGATTATTTTATTTAGAGCAGAATATGATTCCAGAAAGCAAGCCACATAGTATCGTTACAGCTTGCTTATACCTGGATAACGGCTACGAAGAAGCTAAGAACCTTCTCACACGACGGTACGGTTCAGAGAGCGTTTTGGCAGCGGCATTTGTTGATCAATTTGAAAATTTATTGCAGTTGAAACCAGACGATATTGAAGGGTTAGACCATTTTGCACTGGAGCTTATGAAGTGCAAGAATGCCTTTGGTGTAAATAGCGCAGCCATGAGTGACCCCAGAACCCTGAGGAGTATAAGCGCCAAGTTACCCGTTCACTCGCAACACAGATGGCGACATCGAGCCGACTCCATTAATGAAAATGAGGGTAGAGCAGTGGTGTTTGATGATCTAGTGAACTTCGTTGTACAGGAGGCAAGAGTTGCAACCAATCCTGTGTTTGGAAATCGTGGGTCAAATGCAACTGTAAGGCAAAATAACTCTGTCACTGTGGGCAGATTTCGTTCAAAACCGCTGGTGGCCGCGACACGGATGGTTAGTGCCGGAGCAAGCCCATGTATTCACTGTCAAGATAAGGGGCATGAACTCACCGATTGTAGTTGCTTTGCGAAGTTGCCACACCAGGACAAAATTGCCATTATTAGGGATTCAGCGCTGTGTTACGGCTGCTTGAAGCAAGGCCATCGCAGTACTGACTGTAGACGACGAGCTAGCTGTTCCATTTGTGCTTCCCGACATCCTACATCTCTCCATATCAATAGATCAGGAGGCAACAGTGAAAGATCAGAAAATGGTGTCCCAAATGTAACATCTTGCACCACGAAAGGTGGTGCATCCGTCTCATTTAGACCGGCTCTCCCGATCGTCCCTGTTGTCCTACATCACGGTCTTGAAAGGAAATGTACACTTGCTTTTCTGGACAGCGGATCAACTCATTCATTTATTTCAGAAGGATTGCTTAAAACTTTGAAACTACAGAGCCTGCCACAGACCAGACTATCGCTGACAACAGTTGACAGAGAAGTTAGCATCACGACACGAATAGTCAACGGAGCTTGGTTGTCGGACGAGAATGGTGGGAACATTTTAGAGCTGCCTCAGTTGTTTTCTCTCGAAAAAATTCCAGTGGACTTTGCTGATTTTCCTACTCAAACTGAAATAAGTAAATGGAAACATCTGGAAGGGGTCAAACTAGATCTGTGCCAAAATGAAGAAGTTGAACTTTTATTGGGCTCCAACGCCTTTTTAGCCATGGAACCATTAGAAGTGGTGACAAGCAACGGAGAGGGTGGTCCTTTTGCCGTGCGAACAAGATACGGATGGGTTGTGAGCGGTCTCCGTGGGGTATCATCACCATTTCCAGCGAAATGTTACAAAACACTGGTACATCCTGAGTTGCAACACCTTGAAGGGCTTGTACAACAGCTATACAACAAGGAACATGAAGAAAATCTACATTCAAATAAAATGGGACCATCTGTTGAGGACAAGAAATGGGAGAAATTCGTTCACGCGTCAACTAGACTGATTAAAGATCATTATGAGGTGGGACTACCGGTTGTAGATGAAGGGCTGATTCTGCCAAATAACAGGAATATGGCGGCAAGCAGGCTACTGAGCTTGAGAAATAAGCTTAGGCGGAGTGATAAATTGGCGTCCGATTACAAGCTATATATGAAAAACATGTTGCAAAATGGTTTCGCAGAGCCCGTACCAAATGCCGATTTATCCAGAAATGATGGTAAGGTATGGTATCTTCCACATCACGCCGTTCAGCATCCCCAAAAACCGGACAAGGTTCGCATTGTATTTGATGGCGCCGCAACCTTTAAAGGAATCTCTTTAAATGACAATCTTTTGCAGGGACCAGACCAAACGAATGCACTTTTAGACGTGTTGACCAGATTCCGTATGGAGAACATAGCTTTCACAGCCGATATTGAAAATATGTTCCATCAAGTTTATGTTCCAGAGTCTGACCGCGATTTATTCAGATTCCTGTGGTGGAAAGATGGCGATCCTCAAAATGATATATTGGAATACCGCATGAAAGTTCATGTTTTTGGAGCCACTTCTTCACCCAGTATAGCATGCTTTGCATTACGCAAGACAGCTTTAGACAACCGAGGGTGTTTCTCGAATGAAAGCTGTGCTACTATTGAGAAGAATTTTTACGTCGACGACTTGCTGAAGGCAATGCCTGACGAAGGAAGCGCTATACTGCTGCTTCGAGACCTGATGGTTTTGTGCAAACGAGGGGGATTTACTTTAAAGAAGATTTCGAGCAATAGTTCCGCTCTGATTGCATCCATTCCTAGCGAATCGCGGTCTAAGCAATTGGCGTACTGGACCAGCGATAGTAGTCACCTTCCCACTGAGCGAGTATTGGGTGTAATCTGGGACACTGAACAAGATGTGTTAAAGATGGCATTGGATCACGACAAGCTAGTTGCCCGGCCGATGACAAGACGAGGATTACTGTCAGCTGTAAGCTCCTTGTATGATCCAATTGGCATGTCATGCCCATCCATGCTGAAGGGACGCCTCATCTTGCAAGAATTGAGCAGGCTACATAATGGATGGGATGATAGTATTCCGCCTGTCAAGCAGCAAGAGTGGACGGCTTGGCTATCAGCTCTAAATGAAGTGAATGAATTGTCAGTGAATCGTTGTGTAAAACCTGATAACTTTGGAGACGTAGTATCTTGTCAACTTCATCATTTTGCTGACGCCAGTGAAGTAGCATACGGAACGGTTTCTTACATCCGGCTTACGAATGCCAAAGGACAAATCTGTTGTTCTTTTCTCAAGGGCAAGATGCATTTAGCGCCTCTCAAAGGAGCTACAATACCTCGTCTGGAGCTCATGGCGGCAACGACGGCGGTAAAAATATGCTCCCTGATAGGTGATACCATTGAATTCGATGATGTCGAGCATATATTTTGGACTGACAGCACCACCGTTTTAAGGTACATTCAGAACAAAGCGAAGCGTTTTCACACCTTTGTAGCAAATAGATTGGCAATAATCCACGATGGGTCAAGGCCAGAACAATGGAGGTATGTCAATAGTTCAGACAATCCAGCTGACGACGTGTCTAGGGGTGTCCAAAGTAAGAGATGGCTGAATGGACCTGAATTCCTTTGGAAGGACAAAGGCTTTTGGCCCTCAGCACCGATCGCCTTCAGGGAGGTGACGGAGGACGACCCCGAAGTGCGAAAAACGGCGATATGCGCTAAAACTGCGATTGTACCAGATTCTGAAACTCCGATGGAGCGGCTCATTTTACATTATAGTCAGAAAGAATCCCTGCTCAGAGGATTGTCGTGGCTGTCACGATTTACAAGATCACTTAAGGAAGGACAGAAGGGGTTTATAAAAATGTCTCCCCCTTTGTGCTATGAGGAGCAACGTGAAGCAGAAAAGAAAATAATTCGACATATACAAGAACATGAATTTCCAAGGGAGTATGAAAACCTGTCAGTTGGCGCTGAGGTACCAAGAACCAGTCGATTAGTGAAGCTTCACCCTTTCATGCAAGACGGTATCATTAGGGTAGGTGGAAGATTAGCAGAGGCTTCGATTTTAGAAGAAACAAAACATCCTATCGTTATTCCGAGTCGTGGTCATTTTACAGAACTACTCATTACGGACGCCCATGAAGCCGTAGGGCACAGTGGGAGACAGTTCACGCTAGCGAAACTTCGAAAACGTTTTTGGATTCTGAAGGGAATTTCAAGTGTAAGACGTGTTCTAAACAGTTGTTTGAGTTGCACTAAACTCTACCGACCACCTGAATCACAACAAATGGCCAATCTTCCGTCTGACAGAGTGCAAGCTCAAGAGCCACCGTTTACGCGAACAGGTGTGGATTACTTTGGACCATTTTATGTCACTCAAGGTCGTTCACAGGTCAAGAGATATGGGGTCATATTCACCTGTCTTGCTATCAGGGCCGTACATCTGGAGGTTGCTGAAAATCTGACGTCAGACTCATTCATTTGCGCCCTGCGCAGATTCGTTGCACGTAGAGGTAATGTTCAAATACTAAGGTCTGACAACGGAACAAATTTTACTGGAGCCTTTTGATTACGCTAAATCAGCAAATCAATTATGGCCTTTACCACCGCACTCAATACGGTCTAATTGCACTATTCGAGCATCTTCTTACTCAAATAATAGAAACAAACATATCTCTCTTGAGTTCCATGTTGCCGTTTCTGGAATACATGACATCACGTCATACAACTTGGAGACATAGGTTTAAGGACAACAACACTATGCATTTACCTAAATCATCTCATACAAGATCTAACGTTACAGATATAACCAAGATCGTCACTCTCACTACTAACGAAAGTCGTGTCTATTACCACAACAAAATGCGTACTTACATGAGTCTACATGAGTCTACATATAAAATCGCGTGACAATTTTCTCGCGTATACACACTGCGGCGAACCCTCTTGCTGGGCGGCGCCAACACCCACCCCCTTGAAACCACGAGGGGTCGAAAACGAGAGGTTTCAATTTAACTTCACCAGTTTTGTCACTGGGCGCTGCATTACTGTCCCTCTTGTTCGGACAGTCGCAGATCGAACCAATCCATCGGAACTAGTTCGAACAGCTTCAATCAAACCGAGTGGCCACTGGCCTCTGGGAACACTATCATCAACAAGCAGAACTGTGTCTCCTGGTTGAAAGTTCTTTCTTGTTTCTGTCATAACGTGCCTTTCTTGTAGAGTCGGTAAGTATTCGGATCTCCACCGTGTCCAAAAAACATTTGCGAAATGACGAGCTTGCTTCCATTTTTTTCTATTTCCATGGTCCGCCTGGGAGAAGACTCCGAATGGTAACGTTACACCATGTCCTCCCAGAAGAAGAATGTCATTTGGCGAGAGAGGTGGATCGTCCCTGACGTCGCTAGATACTGGCGTAAGCGGTCTACTGTTCAGTATGTTTTCAACTTCACAAAATATGGTTCGGAGTGTCTCTTCCTTGAGCGATTGCGATGTTAAAAGGGATTCGAGTATTCTTCGTATGGATCGTATCTGACGTTCCCACACCCCACCATGATGGGAGGCGCCTGCCACGTTGAATTTCCATGTAATTCCTCGCTTGAGCATTGCTCTTTGTAACACATGCTCATTTTCTGATAACCTTGTCATCTCTAAGCGCAGTTCCCTGTTGGCTCCAGTAAAATTTGTTCCGTTGTCAGACCTTAGTATTTGAACATTACCTCTACGTGCAACGAATCTGCGCAGGGCGCAAATGAATGAGTCTGACATCAGATTTTCAGCATGTCTTGTGAATGCTGTGACCCAGTGGCTTCCGCGGGTGTGAGTAATTGCGGCATAAAGACTTTATTGCAGCTGAGTTAGTTGTGATTTGTCAAATATGGCTCGTGAGAGAGGTGTAGGCTAAGGTTGTTCCTGTGTTTGTGTCTTTCTGCGCGTGCCGTGTGTTGTGTTCGCAGCGGGGCAAGTTGCCCTCGCCGCGTGTGCGACCTTTTGAGTCTTTCACCCAAAGTTGTGGTGGAAGGTTCCTGTTCTTGTCGTCGTTGAGTAATAGGCTCCGACGACAAGTCATAGTGTATACTGTGTGTGTTAGATTTAAGTAGAAATAAGTCGTGTAGTGTTTTTGTACTTTGTTGGGCGAGCTGTCCTAACAGAGTGCTACGTTCAACTCATCCGCCCGCAGTGCATTGTACGCCGTGTTTGATAGACTTAGTTTGTGTAGTGTTTTTCACGTGTTGTCGGACAAGCTGTTCTGACGAAGCGTGAATCTCAGTTACCATAGAATCTCTTAAAGGTTGTGTATAGTAAAAGCTGTCTTTCGCCGGTAGCTAAAACGAACAAAATGACCAAAAAATCCGTCCCGCGTCGTGTTGTTAGTGATAGTCTGTTTGAGTTTGTGTTGCCTGCCCGTCCACAGGGCGTTATTAGCAATAAGGTAAAAGTGTCATGTGATTTGCCATATGTAACCCTCGACGATGACCGCGTGCTGGCTGAGGAGCACGAAGAAAAACTCACCCAGCAAAGAGATGAGGCGCAGAAGCGCCGGAGCGGACGCGAGTTCCGCTGGGGAGCTGCCGTAGCAAAGCGAGCTCTTGATGAGGAGGCGCTTGAGCTGCGCGACTTGGAGCGCGAGAGCGATAAAGCCCGAGCTCGTCGTCTCTGCCAGCTCCAATTCGATTGGATCTTCTCTGCTCGTTGTGGCGAGCTGGACACTCTCCTGGCTGCAGAGGTCAAGCGCCAGGATCTTGCCAACCAGGAGATCGCTGACCTCGAACGGCTCGGCGCCTATCAACAAGCCGAGCTGGCTAAACGGCGCGAAGACGCCATCTTCTCCGAGAGGCTCGGAGAGCTCGACATGCTCATCTCAGAGCTGGAGGCTGAGGCATGCTTCATGATGGGTCAGCGCGACGCGCTGTACTGCTCTGAGGAGGCAGTGGAGATCGAACATGACACCAAGCGTGGTGAGTACCTCGCTGAGTCCACGGCGTATGATGAGGCCAAGCGCTTGAAGCGCGAGGTGGCCAGGCTGCGCCATGCTCACCGGAAGCGAGGCTACTACGGAGTCAACGACCAAGGGTGGTTCGTTGCTTGTGGCCCTGCTCAGCCGGGAGAGGAGGATCAGGTGCGCCTTAGCACCTATAACAAGTTTGACGCGCTGGAGCACCAGCCGACCCTCGACAGTGACGAAGAGGCCGAAGTGCCCAAACAGAGGAAGGACAAGCGCCGGCGTAACCTCCGCCGTAAGTCGCAGGAGGTCGATAACTTCGATGAGTTGTTGGCCGAGGCAGCAAGGTGGGACTCCGAGTGTGGAAAACTCGGTGCCCCCCCCCCAAGCCGTCCCTGGTTGCATACCAGGCGCTCGCGCAGAGGCGAGCAACCTCTTTCGGCAAGCGCGTTGAGGTAACGCGTAAGCCGTTGCTGACGGTCCCAAAAGACGTCATGCTGGATAGACCGCTGAATGAGGCCAACAGCCCTTCCAGCGAGGCGACGAAAGAAGAGAAATTCAAGAGAGCTTTCGGCAACCAAGGAGAAATCCTTTGTGAAAATGGGAAGTGGTATCTAAGACGGTGTAACCATGTACTTGGTACGAGCGTTCAAAACGGAGATGTACAGTGGTTTATCTTGAAAATCAGAAAGGGAGTTGCCTTCAAAAAAGAGGTGCCGGCTCCTAACTTTGGGTGTTACTATCAGCATGGAGCTATGATTTGGTACAAAAATAAGTCTGAACGATGTGGTCTAGTTGAGATCACTGGCCTTGAAGCATCAAAATTGAAAGGCAAATCAGGTACTAGTTGCTATGGAGGGACTCTACTCGGTGTTATTCACGACATCGACTATGATTATTACGGTGCAGTCATACATACTTCTGACCCTGTAGATGAAATTCAGTATCATGTAGATCATTATGACGACTGGGTCGATATTGATAGGACTTTCGGTGAGGAAAAAGGAAAGATAACGTACACTCTGTGTTCAGCAGCTGCGCTGACTTTCATGTGCCTTCTTTCAAGTGCCTTGTCGTGCGATGTGGTTAGCGAAGCTTACGGCACTTACTTAGTCAATGAAATCCAACAGCTTGATTGGCCGACAGGCGAAGAAACGTGCATGGTGCCCCCATGCATTGGTTGTCTCGATTTGGAATGTGGCGCTGGCTATGATCTAGCCACATGGCAGTATATATGCAAACAGGCCGACTCTTGCATTGAAAATGAGGCTTTAGTCATGTTGTTTAGGTCAAATTATTCTGTCGATTTGGATTGTATATACGATGTGCCACAGCCTCGCGCAAAGCGAGACACTAGTAGCAGCGAGGGAATCCTTGTTAGAGTTTCAAATAAATTAGGTTTTGATATTTCTGCAGCTAAAGATAGGGTTATCAGTTTCAAGGACAAAGCAGTAGAGTACTCCAAGAATTCGATTGCAATTATTATAGTAGTTTCAGTGCTCTGGATTTCCCTTACATTGCTGGGTGTTAGCCCGGTGGTGTCTATGATTTTCATCTTCCTTTCTTTCTACATTTCTAGCGTTCAAGGCGTCAATATTGCAAAAGATAGGACGAATTGTCGAGTGGAATATAATAGAGCGGATTTGAATGTGCGCTCTAAGTGTGTAACCAACACTAGGCTTTTTAGTGGCGTTCTTTATTGTAATAAAACGGGTGTTCCGGGGTGCGGGTGGTACATGACCTATAGCACTTTTAGGCCCGACATGAGGACGCGAGCCGTGACTTGTGTGTCTGATGATCAAATGAGCTTCTGGGTAGAGCAGACACCAACACAAAAATTTGTTAGGAGCTATTGTGCTGCCAATCCAGTTGACGTTGTTACCTTAGCTAAAAAAGTTGTAGAGTATTATTTTGGATACTTGCAGGAGCCGACTGAGGCTCATTTGAAACGGATTAGCGACGAATTTTCGACCATTATGACTAATTTAGTGGGAACCAAATATTATGAGTTACTATATAAAATCGCGTGACAATTTTCTCGCGTATACACACTGCGGCGAACCCTCTTGCTGGGCGGCGCCAACACCCACCCCCTTGAAACCACGAGGGGTCGAAAACGAGAGGTTTCAATTTAACTTCACCAGTTTTGTCACTGGGCGCTGCATTACTGTCCCTCTTGTTCGGACAGTCGCAGATCGAACCAATCCATCGGAACTAGTTCGAACAGCTTCAATCTGTTGGCGCCGCCCAGCAAGAGGGTTCGCCGCAGTGTGTATACGCGAGAAAATTGTCACGCGATTTTATAATTTCGAATTCAGTATTTTGTTTCCGTCTCAGCTGGAGTTTATTGCAAGTTTATTGCGCTAAATTGAATATGGAGTATAGTTAGGTGATATTTTGTGTTAAGTGTTAACATATTTTGAACCCCGCAGACTCATGTAAGTACGCATTTTGTTGTGGTAATAGACACGACTTTCGTTAGTAGTGAGAGTGACGATCTTGGTTATATCTGTAACGTTAGATCTTGTATGAGATGATTTAGGTAAATGCATAGTGTTGTTGTCCTTAAACCTATGTCTCCAAGTTGTATGACGTGATGTCATGTATTCCAGAAACGGCAACATGGAACTCAAGAGAGATATGTTTGTTTCTATTATTTGAGTAAGAAGATGCTCGAATAGTGCAATTAGACCGTATTGAGTGCGGTGGTAAAGGCCATAATTGATTTGCTGATTTAGCGTAATCAAAAGGTAGATTCGCGCGTCGTTAGGGTATTGGTAGGGTAGTACGCGGAAGTTATACCGTCAGGGTTTAAATGTATCTCTCTAGCAGTCCTTTCATGATGTTCGGCTTTGATAATATATGTGGGTATGAATTGACCAGAAGCTTTTGGAAATGGGATGAGTCGGAGGAGAACGGAAATTGAGCGGAGTCAGATTCATTCGGTGCCTAGTTAGTCATTATGGCTCAGGAGCTTAGCTCCAAACCCAGGGTACGCTATCCACCGCGTGTGCCCCAAAATGGCGGAGTTATTCACCTGAACCACGATGCATAGTTTAGTAAATTTAGTTTAGAGGACAGTGGCCCGGGTGGCAGACGGGTAAAAGGCTGGGAGACGTCCCGGCCGACCACTGATCCTGTAGAGTAAAGTAGAGATCCGGAGGGGAGGTAACGAAGGGCCTACAGGACCGGCCTAAGCCCACCTCACAATGGATTGCTGTGGAACGATCGTGTGGCTTTGTGCTGTAAGAAATGGGACCATATTAGAGCCAGCAATAATCACGGAACATTAGTGTCGGGGCAGACTGCGGCGACCCCTAGGTTGAAGAACAACTAGGGAGAAAAACATTCGACAGATGGCAGCACTAGAAGAGATAATCAGGCAATACTTTAATCAATGGGAAAGGAAATAATGCCAATGTTTTGCCCTCACCAAGCATGCTACCACGACAATGGAATTATTAGGTATAATCTATATGTGAGAAGCAAATCCAACAAGAAAACGAAATCCGTGAAAGAAAGGCAACGCTAACAAACATCGCCATAGTCTTCCTACGCCGAACGAGTTCCCACACCGAACGTGCATCAGCGAGAGTAAAACTAGGATCCTACTGTGGTCGCGATGGCCCCTCGAAGGCGAAAAACTGCAAAGAAATGCGAGAGCAGCCTAAATGTGCTAAGCATATGGCTGTTAGATCGATGTTTGTCATCATCATCGCCATCGTATAACATGTGTGCATGGATAGCGAACATCACCAAGGCCTACTTCGGCAATTGTGATCGTACCGTATGAAAACAT